ACACAATTAAGCCCTGGGTATTAAATGAGCCATTGGTTCAACCTGCTTCAGATTACCATAAAAACCCTAAAATGTAAATACGTGATTGGTTCAAGTGAAGTAAGGAAAAAGCATCAAAATGTACAGGGATTACAGTACCTGTCAGTGATTCCTAAATATCTAAACCTGTCACAGATACGTTTACTGTTGAGTCTATCTTTTGTAATAAATATTGATACAGACCCCAGTGTTTTGTTAAATAAGTTTTTGTTATTAATAGATTGAACTCCATGAAGCAAATGGCAAATTCCAAATATATACCCAATTTTGCTCATAGATTATGCTACCTCTATGTCTGGTAAACTATAATTTGAACACTCCTCTGAAGTGAATATTATACAGCAATATATGAACACCTCAAGTTCACCTCATACATCATTAAATTGTTTTGCCCTGTACCCCTTGCTCTGCCCTCTTCCATTCTCAACTTCAAACATTTGGGAAAATAGATAATTGGGGAATGAACTAGAGATGGGACTGTATATCAAGTTTATTATGTTATGCCACTGGGCTCATTATTTTCCCAGGGACTTCTCAGTCATAATACATGGATTGGCAAATATATAAACTAAAGGGTAAGACGTCTATATTTTAAATTGGGGGTACCATAGACTATTACTGTATACAGTGTTTGTTATCTTATGCCACTGGGTCTAGTTTTTAATTTATGATGTTATTTTACATATGTCCTTAAATCTGGGGTATATTAACACCCATGTACTGACCACATGTGATCATGTTATTTTACGATGATGATTTAACTAAGGACAGACTTACCTAGTTTCCTTATTTATATTTTCAGGCATTATATTTGATTCTACCATCGTGAACTCTCAAAAACAATTAGATAGCTTAGTTATCGTTTATTATGTTATAACAATGATCCTTTATATGTGCATGTATTGTTCAAGATTCAACTGTTTATGTTTTTTGTCTGCGAGTTGAACCTGACCCTAGAACTGAGTTACATCATTATTGTTGAACATATTTCTGGCTGTTTTTAATATTACATTGTTTTGTAAAGGTTGCTATTTTTGTAAACATTAAGTGGTATTTGCACCTTTACAGGTGTGTGAAAAAACACAGGTGTTCTGAATGTTCTTAATTGCAATCTGATCTCTCATGGGATAGTCTAGAACAAGAAATCAAAACACGAAAGTAAATAGTTTCACCATAGATAGCATGCTGAGAAATGTTGCACAGGTCTTGTTAAGTTAACATATCAAGCGTGTTTGTATCATAGCTAAAATACATTTGGATGCAATCAGACAGTTTCCATGTGTGTATGCAATGATATACTTATATCACTGATTAAACAGATCAACTTTAAGAGAGGATGAGAGATGCAACAGTTGAAAATTTTCTCGATTTCAAAATCTTTTGGATCAGATGGTGAACCTATTTTCCAAAGCCTGGTATATTATCCTATACAGACTGTGCTATACAAAAACAAGCGGTGTGGATATCATGTGCACAAGGTGCAGATATTAACAGTCATTTTTGAATTTGTGATATTGGTTGTATTGGTGGTCAAGATGACCAATCGATATAAATTATATTTGCATTTTGAAAGTCATATACTTTCTGTGTGAATTAAAAAAATTGAAAACATTTATCGGATATGTGCTACCTCTAAACAAGCGGTGTGGATATCGTCACTTTATGGATATCCGCACCGCTTGTTTAGAGGTACCACATTTTTGTTTGATGTTTCCCATTTTGTATAAAATCACACACTTTCAAAATGCAAATATAATTTGTATTGATAGGTCATCTCGATCACCAATATTAAATGAATGCTGTTTACTCTGTAGAACAGAGTTATTTGAATTATTTGCTTTGAAGAGAGTATTATTGCTTGATGTGTCGCTATAGAATGAACTACACACCTATTTACACAATTTCCTATTTATTGGGGAACCTGTTCACATGCATGAATATAATTGAGTACCCAACATGCCTTAGTTTGTGAAATATCATGAAACCAAATTCAAAAATTGACCGTTAATATCCGCACCTTGCGCACATTATATCCACACCGCTTGTTTTCGCATAACACAGTCTGTGTAGAGTGTATATACTGAGTAGTTTTTTTTTCATTCTGTGTTTTTTTCAGTGGAGGGAAAGACTGTCAGTCAATATTGAAATAAACGATGAATTAGTAAATCAGTCAACCTTATGATAAACAATCCATCCATGAATCAACATTTGAATCGGATCAAAGTAAATGAGCTGCTGATTGAAACATATGTCTTTCCTATCTGATTTCACTTGAGAAAATCTGTTTGATTATCCAACTGATAAAAGGAGTCATCTGCAGAACCGGATCTTTGTGCAATCTGTTCAGATTCCAGACAGGGAACTGATCAATATTTCTTTCAAATCATGATTGACATCAATGTTTATTTTGGGCATTGTCTGAATCATAGTATACCTGGTACAGTGCATTACATGTATGTAAAAGTAGCTCGGTAATATACCAAAACTCTAATTTGATGTTCTTTGATGTAAGCATCTGCTGTTATTGGGGTTAAGTGCAGAAATAAAGAATAGAAGTATTCTGTCAAAAATGATTAGCAATTATTCATAAATGTCTTAGTGATCCAACAGATCTTCTTCTGCACTGTTATGCTGCCTAATATGATGGCTCTTTATCCCATTTGTTTACAGTATCAGTGATACAAAAATAGTTTAAATGATTTATGATAACTCTTGAAAAAGTGAATGATTGGAATGTAGTAATTTGTGTCGAATCTACATTATAAACCACCACATTGAATAGATTATAAATGCGGTATGTATCTGCTGAAATAAACTGGTACAAAGTATAATGAGCTCTAACAAAAACAACAGACTATATCAATATTTGAATATTGTCCCAATAATCTAAATCTAATTCAAAATCAAAAACGATGAGGTTCTTGATAAAATGTGTTTTGTTCGTTGGGATTTGCTGCTCTGTTGAGTTGCTTTTTATCGCACCCTAAGGTGCTATATTGTAATCAGTTTGCCGGGCGGTTGGGCGGGCGGGCGGTTGGGCGGGCGTCCCGAATAATCTTGTCTACAGGTTTCCAGCCAAACCATTTGAGGGATTCATTTGAAATTCTCAGTGATGTTTCTACCTATGAAAGTTTAGAACTGAACAGTTTTTCGGCATTCTGGGTAAATGTTAAGGCGGCCATTTTGGATTTTCCGTCCTAAAATCTTGTCTGTCAAGGCTTGTCTACAGGTTTCCAGCCAAACCGTTTGAGGGATTCATTTGAAATTCTCAGGGATGTTTCTACCTATGAAAGTTTAGAAACGATTAGTTTTTCAGCATTCTGGGTAAATGTTAAGGTGGCCATTTTGGATTTTCCGTCCTAAAATCTTGTCTGTCAAGGCTTGTCTACAGGTTTCCAGCCAAACCGTTTGAGGGATTCATTTGATGTTTCTACCTATGAAAGTTTAGAACTTATTAGTTTTTCGCCATTCTGGGTAAATGTTAAGGCGGCCATTTTGGATTTTCCGTCCTAAAATCTTGTCTGTCAAGGCTTGTCTACAGGTTTCCAGCCAAAACCGTTTGAGGGATTCATTTGAAATTCTCAGGGATGTTTCTACCTATAAAGGTTTAGAACTGATTAGTTTTTCGGCATTCTTGGTAAATGTTAAGGCGGCCATTTTGGATTTTTTGTCCTAAAATCGTGTCTGTCAAGGCTTGTTTTAAAAAATTAAAAAGAATTTCCTATTGAGAGCAATGTTAAATTAAAACATTTTCTTAGAAATAACTAAACCGTCAATCTTTCCAATTTTCACATATTTTGTAATATATCAGTATATATTTTACCAGGTTTTTTTCAGGAAAATCTGAATTGTAGAAAAAAAAAAGCTGATACACTGTGAAGTAATACCTTAAAACGTGTCTCTTGAAAAATTCTAGAGATGTTTATATGGAAAGTTTAGAACTGATTAGTTTTTAGGCAGTCTGGGTAAATGTTAAGGTGGCCATTTTGAATTTTCCATCCCGAAAAGTTCATTCTGTTCAAGGGTGCGATTCTGTTCACCGTGTGGCTTATTCTAATTCACAAAGGTCTTCACTGCCAATTCAAGGAGCAGCTGTTTGAATTAGTGAGGCACATTTCGTGCATTTCGGAACATTTTAATGCAAAGATCCAAAATAGAATATTTCTTAATACTCTAAAATGTTGATTTTCATGCTTAAATGTTCAGAATTAAGTCTCACATAATGACATAGGATGAGAAAATGAACAGCTGTGTTATTGATTCTGTTGTGATGAGATGACATTTGTTTAGCTGTCATGACACCCTTGGCCTGACATTCTGCACATTCAACTATTTCTGTAAATGTTATGACATGTTAGTTGCATAAAAATACTGATAAATGAGTTCTTTGAATGCAAGTAGAAATATATGAATAACAAGTTAACATTTCAAGCCAACAATAATAATTAAATATTGGACCATGTAATAGATTGTCTAATTTTATATCATGGGTTTAGAATACCACATTGAGTTTTTCATTGAAGTCTAAACTTGATATTTGTTCTCCAGAATGTTTAAAAAGTTATTCTTCCTTTGAGAGCCCAGTTCTAAGGCAGCATGTATGGTGCTACCATCTATATTCAAGAGTGTTTTAACGGCAGGACTTACATGTATGATGTCTTAAATCATGATATATGTTGAATATATCATTTCTTCATCCTAGAAGTGTTTCAACACTGTAATGCCCTTGCAGTAGTTTCTTTAGAAATTACATTATAAATGATTGGTTATTGAATGAAAGATGGAATTCTATCTGAAATTCTATTACCGACATTCCAATTCAACAGAGATTTATATAATTAGCCTAAATTTCTTTTCTCATTGTGAAAAGTGGAAAATCGCTTTTGGTTCCCCTGGTTACCACAATGTAATTTGTATTTGTCTTTTAGCATCCCTATCTTCATATAAATCTTCTGATTTCAGATCAAGCTCCCTAAGGCTGTTCCAGAACCATCTCCCGAGCCAATTGCTATGGAGACAGATTTCTTCTTCTCGGGTGATGTTATTGCACCACGTGATTTTCAGACAAGCTTTATCTGCGTCATCGTTGTCCCATCTGTAGTCATCGTCATCTTAGTCATCTTCTTCAGTTATCTCATGTTTGCACGCAGGGAAGGAGTGTAAGTGTTTTACCAGAGCTATATCTTATATTGTGTATCTTGATTATATTTCAGTATTATTTAGGGAATTGTTAGTCTATGTATCAATGAAACTTTAATGAGAAAATATATATATTACGGTTCAGTTTGACATGTCATATATTATGCATAGGTTTTCAGCTGTTATAAAGATAGTAGCAGTTGTTTATATGTGAATTGGTACATACATGTTTGGTGATTTGAAGACCCTGTTATATTATTGCTGTTTATGACAATAAGTTGTAAAGATGCTGATTCTTTTGTCAGCACTTCTGTTGGTGACATATTGTTCTAGTCCCTATATTTGTGAATGATGCTCGGTGTTTGGCATTTGGTGCTCAGTGACGTCATCTGTAGTAAATGGTAACAATGGTAACTCTTGTTATTGCAACTAGGTGGTAACATTTCATCATGTAAGTGCGATTTTTAATATGTTTTTCTCGTCTGTTTCAGTGACAAGCGAGATCAAATGACCCCAGAGTAAGTAGAACATTGTATTTGTATAGAAACCACTTTGAGAGAATTGAACAATTCTGATTTTTACTATCACCATATTACTAGACCATGGTCCAATTAATGGTAAGATTATATTGGTAAATGTGAATATTCATATCACACTTTTCAACACCACAAGTGGTGACAACTTGTTATAGTCTTTAACTTTTTGTGGATGGAGTTTGGTGGTCTGCGATCAGCATATGGCATCTGTAACAAATGACAGTTGGTGACATTTTGCATGTTAATGCTTTGTTATTATTTCTTCATAGTGATATAGACTTTTTATGAGCATAAATTATACAAATGGATTTGATGTATTATTGAACGCTAAAATAAAACTCCCATTTAATGAAATAATAATCCATAATTAGATTAGAGATCACTGACCTCACGTGACCATTCAATTATATTTCAAGTAAACATAGTTTCCAATAATCTCAAAACTAAGAAAAACATTGTTTATCTTTTCCAGACACCAGTTACTGCAGTTTAATTCTATAAGACGTGCTACCACAAATCTGCGCTACTTATCAACACGTCGTGACAACCCACAGTGGCCAGCCACATCTACTCCTGTGCACCCCGCACCGACCCCACCTTCTAGCAGGTAAGTAAAGATAGTTAGAATTTGTCTAAGTTCAAGATGCATATCTGATTTAACCTTGTACTTAATTGTGCTAAGTACAAACCACAAAGATGGATAAAAGATTTTCATTTCCATATGAAAGAAATAATGTATATAAAGAGTTTCAAACAGACAAAAGAGTTTATTACAGTATTTGGGATGTACAGCCAGAGTATTGCCTTAAAGGGATATGCATTGCAATGCCTTATTTTCAATTTGGCCCTTAAAGGGATATGCATTGTAATGCCTTATTTTCAATATGGCCCTTAAAGGGATATGCAATGTAATGCCTTATTTTCAATATGGCCCTTAAAGGGATATGCATTGTAATGTCTTATTTTCAATATGGCCCTTAAAGGGATATGCATTGTAATGCCTTATTTTCAATATGGCTCTTACTTATGCTATATTTGTTGTTTTGTGCCATCATAAGAAATGGAAGAAGGTATGTAAGATTGTTTTTCACAATATCACAACAGATAAATAAAAAAATACTCTCTTATCACCAAATTATAAGAATTTCTCAACTCAATTAATTGCAATTCTATTTCAGTCGTGCTGACCTGACATCTGTGACCGACCCAAGGAGCCAAGCCCCACCCCCCTACAAATTACCTCCCACTTACCACACTGACCCTGGGGATACCAGTAGATCACGGTCATTGTAAGTCAATAGACAGTAGATAGTACATGTAGTACAATACTGTAAAACGGGTAATTTTGACATCGGGAAATTTTAGCGATTTTTCAATTTTAGGGGGTTTTAGCGCGGGAAATTTTAGCGAAATGAACATTAATCTTTAAAAAATCAAATTAGCGAAATGCATTAGAAATATTTTCATTTATGGCAGAAGAATGAATAACGGACATGACAGAGGAATTATCAAAATGTAAGACTTCTAACGCACATGGTATTGGTCCAAACTACTGTAATCTCATCTGACTAATCACAAAATCACGGTAACATTTAAAATCATTGATTTTTCGGTCCAAACTAATCTCATCTGACTCATCACAAAATGTAGCATTTAAATCGGAAGTTGAGCACTGGACGAAAAGCTCCTTAAATACTAGTATTCAAGTTGTTTCCCGGGAATTTGCAAATTTTAGCGCCCGGTTTATTTTAACCCTGGTTTATTTTAGCGAAACTATAGCGATCGCTAACAATCGCTAACAATTACCCCTCGCTAACAATACCCGTTTTACAGTATGCATTTACAATAAATTTAGGCTAGACTAAATGTTTTAATGATATTGCGATACAGAGGCCATGGAAAATCATATCTGTTATGCTGTTATATGTTATATTATATCTGTTATGTAGTGTATTTCCTTATTTTGTTCTTTTCAAGTGTACTGAAATATCATATTGTAATAGCTCAATCAAATTCAAAATAGACATCCGAATGTTTGAATTTCAACTTTACAAAGTACATGTTCCATTCTGCGCAAAATTTGTTGAGCATTATACATTGTGTACAATAGCTTGTCTCGTTTGAAATATTGCATTGAATAGAAGGAGTGTCAGCATTAAATGTATCATCTTCATTAAATGAAGGTTAATCTTTAAAAACATTGCCTTCTTTGAATGCAATTTATTATTGTATCACTCACTGTATTTCAGGAGCCGTCATACAGAACCAGACCATGACGTGAGCCACTTTCCAGAAGGTGAAGGTCATGTAGGAGAGGAGGAGCAACTTGTGCCAACAAACAATAACAATACTCACAGAGAATAGCACTTCAGTTCACATTAAAGGGTTCCGATTAGCATCCCGTATAAAAACAATATGGCGGCTCCAGGCGAATCAACCGGATCAGTCCATTTTTAAGAAATAAGGGGAGTTCTGTAAAATCCGGTTTATTGAAATTGTCTTTGAGATAAAGTAATCCGTTTATAATGATTTTGAAAACGTTATCCAAAGAGTGATTGCGTTCAAAGAATACATGTACAACAGCCAATATAAATCCTTGTATTAGAAACCGGTTTGTCTTGCTTTGTTTCATTTGTAGGATATTTCATATGCCAAGCTGTGTGCTGTTACGTTATGGGGAAATTTAGATGCCAATTTTTCCTTATTATACACAAATAGAAGATCCTGAAACTTCACCCATAAATGTGGAATTGATTTGTCAAAATAAAAATCACCATTTTATAAATGTGTGACGATCTATAATATACTTATGCTATATAACAGTTAGAGGTGTTGACACAACAACCTCGAACCTGTGAACCCTTGAGTATTATTCCGGGATCGGGCCTTTTATACTAAACGGTGAGCAACACCAGAAACGAGCGTTCGATTTGCTAAACGATATGCGTCACCCTTTAAGGCAGGTCTGGACTGACACTCCCTCGCCAGTACTCATTGTCACATAGTACATACACATAGATGGAAAGATTAAGGCATGCTGCCACATAAAGGCATATAATCATCACTGGTGAATCCAGAAGCTAAGAAGGGGGAAGTTATGCACAAAAAGGCCCATTTTTGAGGCCCTCCAAAATTTTTGAGTCTTAAAATTTTTTTTTAACTAACCCCTTTGGATCCGCCAGTGATCATGGTCTGCTATATCACATTGACAAGTTCATGTATGAGTCAAGTAGAAGTGGACACAATATGGCATGTATTCCCCTGGGAGAGTGCCTAAAGTGTGACATGCCAGAATCTGCACTGTACTGTACACTAAGTCCATAGTTCAATTAAATAGAGTTTTCTATACTATACTATGATTTGAAAGATGGCAGTTTTACAATTGTGTTCAACATTATAGACTTGCGGTCACTGTTGCTTTGAATGGATGATATGTTATATTTTCTCTTGAAATTTGATTGCACTTTAAAAATCATTTCTACATATTTTACGCCATTTGATATTTGTGAAATCTTTTAAATTTGATCAACAAAAAATAAACAGGTTGTCCAAAAGGAAAGTTCCAGCATTTTGGTTCTTCGAGACAAATGGCTTAAATTCAGCTAAATATGAAAAAAAAGAAATTTCTCTTAAATTATTTTTTATTTATTATTTATTGCATATTCATTTACATGTAGCATAAGTACTAGTACTTATTATATAGACTAGTTCATTTAGAAAGTGTGAAAACAAAAAAGTGTCAGCATTCAAAATGACTATACTGTAAAACATGTGTGTTGAGACATTCCTTTCTTCACACAATAGCATTGAAAACCTAGTAAAAAACATTTTCAGGATTTATTCCAAGAAACTGGAGGAAAAGATTCATAGGGAAAAAGTTGAATGTTTTCAGTGGAAATCATTATATTATATCATTGGATGATGTAAAGTATCAATCAATCACATCTAATGCACATATTGGTAATATGACATCGTAATATATACTTCTTGAAAGATTTCAATGGCAATTTTTGTTCTCATTTGTTTTATTTTGAGCAGAGTAATGTTCACCTGAGACATGTTTTACTGTATAGTAGCACAACCTGTATCGTTGTTTGTAGATAATATAGATTTACACGTTTATGTGCAATGGAATACTTGAATAATGGATGAATGTATCCAAAGTCCAGTTACTTTTAGTAATCAAATACTATCATACTCAAAGTTAGTAATATTTAAAATATAGTAGTAATGTGTATGTTTACATGTAATATGTATGTTTACATGTAATATGTATGTTTACATGAAATATTTATATTTGGTATTACAATTGGTTACAAAGCTTTTATATTTAAGGTCACATTTGGAAGTTTACTTACATAGGAGTGAATGTGACCTGAGAAAATTAACTGAATCTCAGTAAATATAACTCTTTATTTCAGTTCTCATCGTTGTCATTGTGAAAGGAATGTTACATTGTCAAAGATTTGGTGATTTTTACCTCACATGAGTGAACTATTATAATTCCCATTTGTCTGTCCTTCTGTCTGTCAACATATTGATGACAAATTTGTTATATTCCATGACAATTCAAATGGTCTCACTTTAAAAATGTGTCTATAAGAGGGCTTCAGTTGTCCCAAAAGTGACATCTCAATCAAATGGTTGCCTTATTTCAAAATGGCAGCCATTTTATTACCTTCCCATGTGCGCCCTCAGCACAGTACACATGGTACTTTGTATTACAATATACTATAGGCTGCTCTAGATCCATGTAATCCATATTGTACTCAAGATTGTCTGTTTAATTTACTCTTATCAGATACACAGAATTACTTGTCATCTTAAGCATGATTATGTTTTTAAATTCAACATTTGGTATAAATGGTGGAATGCAATGAATAAACTTGTTTTATCTCAGAGTTGATGTGCCATTATAAAGTATAATATTTTGTCTGTTTTGTATGATTAATAGATAGAAATAGAACATGGAAAAATAGTAAATCAATATTGTTTTTATTATGTTATTTTTTGTATATTTTGATGCATTGAAGAAGAGCTTCAAGACACTGTAACTTTTGATAATTACAAGACAAGGCTTTAAATAACGGTAAAGTTTGAGAATTTCAATACATGGTAAAGTTTGAGAATTAAAAGAAGAGCCTTAAAGTCCCCGTAAATCGGGCTATGTATACCGCCGTGTTTACATTAGGGGATTAGAAGAGTTTTATTTTTATTTAGGTATGCAAGCTATATATCAATATTAGGCCTTCATGCATGTACTCCTGTGTACAATCAGCAGGCCCTTCAGTATCATATAAACCAGGCTATTCAAGTACTACATAATGTACAGAATACGATTCCCTGGGAAACGAAACACAAATACTTTTTATATGTTCAAAATGAGCCATTTGATTGATGCATACACTTATAGCTTAAATAACATCTACAAAGTATATCTAATAGTAATTTTCAATTTTAATGGTGAAACTTGCCTGGTTACGATTATACGGGAAATCAACACGGGACAAAGATTGTTCACCTTCCTGGCTTACCTCTGAAGCCTGTACCTTGTAATCTCTTTATATAAGTTAGCGAGAGCGCTGCACCAGTTTAAAACTTTGGCGCACACTTTAAGAAGCTTTAAGACGTGGCAATGTGTAAGAATGAGAAGAGGAATTAAATCATGGTAATGTTTAAGAACTACATGTACTTGTACAGTAAACAATTACAGTACAGGAAGAACCCTTAAAATATGGTAATTTTTGAGAATTAAAAAGAGGCTTTAAAGATATCGTAACTTTTGAGAAATAGAAGAAGAGGCTTTAAGACATGGTTAAGTTTGAGAATAAGAAGAAGAGGCTATAAGCAATGTAACTTTTGAAAATTAGAGGAAGAGCCTTCGAGATATGGAAACATTTGAGGATTACAAGAAGGTACTTTGAGACATAGTAATGTTGGAGAATTAAAAGAAGAAGCTTTATGGTTATGTTAAATTAAAAGAAGAAGAGGCCTTAAGACATGGTAACATTTGAGAAATAGAAGAACAGGCCTTAAGACATGGTAACATTTGAGAAAAAGACGAAGAGCCTTCAAGACATGGTAACATTTGAGAAATAGAAGAAGAGGCCTCAAGACATTGTAATGTTTGAGAAATAGAAGAAGAGGCCTTTAGACATGGTAACGTTTGAGAAATAGAAGAAGAAGTCTTAAGACATGGTAACGTTTGAGAATTACAAGAAGAGCCTTAAGACATGGTAACATCTGGGAAATAGAAGAAGAGGCCTTGAGACATGGTAACATTTGAGAATTACAAGAAGAGGCCTTGAGACATGGTAACATCTGGGAAATAGAAGAAGAGGCCTTAAGACATGGTAACATTTGAGAATTACAAGAAGAGGCCTTGAGACATGGTAACATCTGGGAAATAGAAGAAGAGGCCTTAAGACATGGTAACATTTGAGAATTACAAGAAGAGGCCTTGAGACATGGTAACATTTGAGAAAAAGAAGAAGAGGCCTTAAGACATGGTAAGATTTATGAATTACAAGAAGAGCCTTAAGACATGGTAACATTTGAGAAATAGAAGAAGAGGCCTTAAGACATGGTAATATTTGAGAAATAGAAGAAGAGATTTTAACACATGGTAACATTTGAGAATTAGAAGAAAAGGCTTTAACACATGATAACATTTGAGAATTAAAGGAAGAGGCTTTAACACATGATAATGTTTGAGAATTAGAAGAAGAGGCTTTAACACATGATAACGTTTGAGACTTACAAGAAGAGGCTTTAACACATGATAACGTTTGAGACTTACAAGAAGAGCCTTTAACACAGGATAACATTTGAGAATTACAACGGTAGGCTTTAATGATGAAAGAGCCTTTAGGCATGATTATAGATAATATTTCCCCGGGACATCATATTTTCGGTTGCTTTAATAACGTGTTTCGTGCAGTACAATATGTACCGGAAGTAAACTAAAAATCACATGATGAGTTCACCGAATGAAACATCTCCACTTATATCAGTTTTGTCACCTGGAAACAGTCAGAAGATGGAATCTAGTGGGGAATATATCGTCTACTCACGCAGGTGGTACATCCTGGCTGTGCTATGCATCCTGAACATATCGAATGCAATGGTGAGTTGACCATCATTTCGTGCAGAATTTTTCGAATTTATTTTTTAATAATTTTTTTACAGTTGGGGACATAAATAAATGACAGGTGGATTTGCTGAAGTGAGGATTTCCCATGTTAAAAATAAGAGAATTTACAAGAGGCCATACATCAGTGGATGAGATTATACAAAATGTAAAATATACAAATTTTAAGGGATATATATCTAGACAATATTGGAAATTATGGGCTTTCAGACCACCATAATTAGGAAATGGTGATCGAAAATCGACCTGTCATTTATTTTTGTCCCCAACTGTATGTATACCTACAGTGCTCACCATAAAGAATTACTAAAGCTACAGCTACAGTGTATTCAGTGCTCTATTTTCTCCGTCCTAGTAAGTACAGATATAGACTAGTTGAATTCGTGTCCATAATGACAGATAAGAACTTAAAAATTTGAAGTGGAATTCAGTTCAAACGTTGAGTGATTTTGGAGCCGGATTACGCGGCAATGTGGATTGGCTCCCAGAATGCAACATGACACGTGTCAGCTTTCAAAATGCCGTTCCGCCATTTTGAAAGCTGTCACGAGTAAATAAGGTTACCTGATGTTGCATTCTGGGAGTCAATCCTCCTTGGATCACAAACATGGCAATTCATGAAAACATTAGTTCGATTTGGTAGGGATTTATCCATCATTTGCAGGTATGAAGCTTTGGATTCATTTATTGTGCTACTTAAAGTCAGTGGATATTTCAATTCTACCGCTTAGAATTTAGCTCATTGTGACAACTTTTGAGGGGGGGGGTGTATAGTAGACTATATCATATTTAGTCTGAATTATATTCAGACTATAAGGCACTTATGTTAAAGTTTGTTAATTCCAAATATTTGTTTACATAGGAAGTGCTATTCAAAATGGCCGATTGGGTAAAATTAATTTGCACATTTGTAAGTTCAACTAGCTTTATTTCCACTTGACAATATGCTGCGTTACTTTTTATTGCATTTAATTGTACCTTACTATTTAATTGAAATTTTGTAATGTTTATTTTATTGAAGAAATGATTCCTCTAATTGATAATTTTGTGCAAAAAATTTCAATGCAATTTCCACAGGAAAGTAGTACATCATAACAGACTGACTTCTAGTCAGTCTGTTGGATACATACTAGGTGTATAGAGGGTCTTGGAAATGCATATACAATATTTTTCAGCTCTCTTATACCATATACAATATTTTTTCACCCCTTTTATACCATATACAATATTTTTCACAGCTCTTATACCATATACGATATTTTAGGTGAAATACAATATACGATAATTTTGAAACTGCTGTTGATTGAAGTTTGGATATTTATAAGGAAATAATATAAGGAGAGAATCCATGTACTAAAGTAAATGTATTATTATAAGGGAAATAGACTCCACATACATACCACACTGATTTCATTTATTACATTATGAATAAGACACCATTCGGGTACATCCGCATGTTCAGAAAAGCTGTGACCACATTTTATTTTCAGGTAAACAAGGTGATTTAAAACACATTTATGATATAAGATTCATTACTTATCTTTAGTGATTTCACAACCTACTTTGACCATAAAACTAACTTTAACATTTCTGCAATTTGCTAAAGCCATTAGCCCATTACCTGTAAAAGTACCATAAAGATATTCAAAATTAACACAAACCCTGCATCATTGGAATGGGTGGAATCAGTGTTCCTCTTTCTTATGACCTACTTTCCCATGACATATTTTAATGTCAATGGAATCCTTCATAGTGAGCCAGGGAAAAAAATCCTTGAAAGATAATTGATGCAAAATTGAGAATGTGGAATAAAAGATTCATCATGTGTTCTATGAAAATAAAGTTTGCTGAGGAAAATATGTATCAGATAGGTAATGAAGATTCCCAATGCACAATAATTTTGTAAAGCAGTTACCTGAAAATATTAAGTATTGAAAACAGTTTCAGAAATAAAGGACTTCACAAACTTCGAGACTTGATTGTTTAAACATTTGAAACAAGAGACACTTCGGGGTTTCAGATAAGGCAGCCTTAAAGACAGTATAAGTTAAACAAAGGTGTGTCAAAATAAAGCAAATTTCCATAAAGTTCAAACCACATGTTTCACGAATGATTTCAAGGCAAAGATGTATTGATGAGAATGAAAACTACTCTATGCAACTAGAAATAACTTTCTTTTAAAGGACCACAGACGGTATCGCAACAGATTTCAGTCATATATTCATATGATTCATGCAGGGGTTTTAAAGATATCAATTTTGAATGACCAAAATTTAGCTGAAAACAATGGATCACATGAGTTTTCCCTATGGGAAAATAACATGGGAAATACATGTACTGTTTTCCACTTTATCCCAAATAAATCGTATTTTAGAGGTTAACTGTGTCTCAAAACTGTGTCTCAAAGTGCAACATATTGGTGCATCAAACATTGAAAAAACATATGTGGAAAGGGCTAAAAATCAGGACAACATTTCAGAAAAACCTTCCCTGTCTCAAAGTCCAAATTATTTTATCACCTCGATGAGTGCTTGATCTGGAGTTAATGCATTGGCCTAACATATGTACCTGTTCAAATCCCCAATAAATAGCTGAAATCCAACATATGACAGTTTGAAGACCAAATAAAAACCTTTTGCTATATTATGCTATATTAGCATTGTGATGCTTGTATTAAAAAAACATGCGCTGTATGAACACTTTATACTCAAATATTTTAATGATTTATCCCACATACCCCGAAACACGAGTAGCCATAGTGACCATATTTTTCATCAAAGTTAAGATGAGTCAACGTCGCCAACGTGCAAATGCCAATGTTTTTGCTATAAATCAAGCAACAATGGTCTGTACGACCTGTAATAAATATATAAGCAACGTTTTTATCACAAAATTCTTTGCCGGTTTTTTAAAATAATTTTCCAAATGATAGATACAAAATAATTGAATGATTGAACGGAGGGGGGGAGTGAACGGAGGGGGGGTGGAGTAATATGTCTTTAAGGTGGAAGAAATTTCCACAAATTCTTGTACTTGAAAAATGAACTCACTTACTCAGTAACCCCCCTATCACACCAAACTAGTTCTTACCCGTTCTTGCCAGTCCTACGAAAATGTTGTAAAACGGGCTCAATCTGCCTGTGGTCGGAAAATATGTCTGAAATAATTAGCTTCTTCGTTCTTAAACAGTCTTCAATACGTCCATCTCGTTCGCAGTTCGTTCAGGTCGCACCACGTCGGTGTGCAACGTCGTAGAACGCGTCCCTTAGTCTAGAAGGTCAACATGACCTGATTACAGAACGGTATGGTCGCCATCACATTTTGAATCGATTCAAAATTCGAAAATCACATTCCTGTCTGAGAACGTTCATAAAGTACGTAAATAGACCTTAGAAAGTTGCAGCTACGTCCATTCCATTCGCACACAGTTTCAAACCAGTTTTGAAGAACGCAGTGGCAACTTGTTTGATGTGATAGCTATATTTTTGCTAACTCGTTCATAAGCAGTGTTAAATACGTTCTTAATCAGTTTAAACCCGTTTGCAATTAGTTCTACCTCGTTCTCAACACGTCCTCAGACAGTTCAACTTGTTGTTAAAACGTCCCTAGTAGGATTGAAGTACGACGGTTCCGTTTGTAGTACGTCCAGCTCGTCGTTAGTACGTTGTCACTCGTTCTAATTGTAGAAGGTGACGACCACGAGAACATTTTGAGCATTGTCTAAGTTCTAGAGGACCTACCCGTTCGAATACGTTCAATGAAGTTTGTAAATAGATCCCAAACGGTTCTTAGTAGGTCCAGTCCGTTCGTACACAGTTGAAGCCCGTTTTCGAGAACGTAGTGAGAACTAGTTTGGTGTGATAGTAGGGTAACTTGATGTTACAACTCTGAAAAGTGAAAAATGGGGACATATGGAGTTAATGGAAGTTTTCATATGTCTTATAGACACATTACTCCCCCCTCCGTTCGATTACTTTTTATATAACGTATGGTAACGTGTTTTACAAAACCAATGATGACAATAGTTTTGTGATAATTACTTCACTTACAAGTATTTATTACAGGTCGTGTAGACCCCTGTTGGTTGATTTATAGCAAAAAATTGGCATTTGCACGTTGCCGACGCTGCACTTTTTTAATAGATCTTTTATTTTAGAACTCCACAGTTCAAAAAAATCCAAGAAGACCTAACATATTCCCCGTCCACTGCATCTATTCATTTAGCCATTCAATTGTAAACTTTCTCTTGAAAAAATAAATGTTCAAGATTTGTTGAATTTTCTACCAAAAATCAGCTAGATCTACCCCCCCCCCCTCCTTTCATTTCTTCTGATCATCCGGTGTGATTCTTATTTGAGACTATATTTAACACCTCCTGTGAAAATTTGAATGAAAAGGGCACAAACTCTTAGTTTGAGAAGGATTTTTTCTAAACTTACCAACACGGTAACAGTAAGAGAGTTGGCACAATGGGGAACTTTAGGGTGCACTTTCTTCATAATTAGCCTTTTTTAATTCTAGATACCATATACCATATATTTTCTATTATATCATATACCATATTTTTTACACCTCTTATACCATATATAAATTTTGCCCCCTCTTATACAATATACAATAAATTTTCAGCCTCTTATACGATATACAATATCTCTATACACCCCCCCCCTTTTGAGGGGTGAGATTTATTTTTGCACCCAACTTTATGTTATGTGCCAGATCACTTGTGAAGGCATAAATGTATAGAGCTACAAATACTATTATGTCTCGTCTGGTGTACTGGTCCCAGCTCCCTTGCTTGCCTGAAACACTCGAGTGCAATTACCATAGGCCTGGAAACATTAATAAAAAAATCTCTTTACTTGGTGTATTTGACGGGTTGTACTAAATACCACCTAGGTGCCCCACACCTAGGTGTCCCCATTGAAATGCCTAACTGGCATATTTTACTACTTTATTTCAAGATAACATTTTTCAAGTGTTAATATGGTACATAATAAAGTATTTCCGTGGAACTTGTGTAAATATTTCTGATTGATTGATATTTTTAGTTTTGATATTTCATTATTTGCTCACTATAAAATACTACAAATTCACCATTTTAGCAACTAAAGTAAGAACAATCTTTATATTTCAAATATAAATGCACACTTTAGCATAAGTGGTGTTTTATTACTACAAATAAGTAAGCAATGTAGCAAAATTCCAGGTGCCCATTTTTCTAACAATAAAACTTTTTACATTTTGTTTTCGAATCTTCTTTGCTATATATTCTCGACTACAAATTATTATTTCAAGAATATTAAATATGACAAAGGAAATAATACTATATTTAAAATGTGTATGTGGTTTAAATGGAATTAGAAATCCAGGTGTAAATAAATAGATGAATAGGTGCCCAAGGGGATATCTAGATGGTATTTAGTAACACCCTATTTGACTCAATTTTTTGTAAATGTTCCCAGGCCCCTAGCAATAACTGCTGAAACCACCGACCTGTCCATATATCAGAAAACATATCCAGTTCCAAGACTTATACTCCTGCGAGCACTAAATTACTTCCTCTGTTTAATTACAATATGGGAGATTTAGCATCCATAACAGACAAATCAACACAACCAAATAAACTGAGTATTTAGGATTCTTTTTATTATGTAGTTCAATCCTCAATCATATGGATTTATCGGGAGAATGAGGCAATTTTTGTTTTTCTTTGGGAAAAGTCACACTTATTTTCAAAGAGGCGGTAGGTTTTAGAAGGGGAATCATTGCTATTAACTCTGGATCTGGTCCTGCAGAGCCCAGATGTACCAATTTTGATGGCTGAAATAAGATAAATGACATGCAAAAATTGCTATTAGATTTTCACGCCACTTGCAAAATTCAGATATATTTGATAAAGGCCTCTACAGAATGGAACTATTTGGAAAATGCAATAATCTTGGATTTATTACTTTTATTTTAATATAATGGCACTCATGACTGGCACATAGTTAATATTTTTGATTATCATTGAGATATGTCAAATCATGATGCATATTTATTAATAGTCTGTTTCAAGCCCTCATAACCCTTATTGCTTAAATGTGTCTGCAGATATTTAATAACAAATTATTTTCATTAATGTTCAGCCAGCATATGTTGGTTAATATCTGCAGTATTTCACAAATCTGAGTGTAATCTGAATGTTTTATTTAATCAAATATATGTTGTATTTGGTTTTGAGCAAGGCTACACGTTAAAGGTGCCCTTTGCACTAGTTATTATATTGACCCTGGATATCAAGTTGGAACTACAGCCCAGCAGTAGTCGCTTAAGCCTTTATAGCTCAGTTTGTAGATCATCAGTCTTTGGATCCAAGGGTCCTAGGTTCGATTCCCACACGGGCGTTGAACTTAACACACTTTCCTTCAATTTCTTTATCTGGCTTGTACACTATGCTTGTTAGGTAGGCATTCCCCTGGGTCATTACATTATGTTAACATCTAATAATTCATAACCTCTATATAGTCAAAAATATATTTCAGATGTATTTTATTTTCCAGATCTGGATTTGTTTCTCTCCCATAGCTAACATCACACATGAGTACTACAATGTAGATGACATGTCAGGTACGTAACATGACTTATTCCATAATAACATGTTTTCCCTGGGAAATAAACTGGAATAAAACTGATATTCAAAAAATCCTGTATCAGCCAAAATCCAGTATCAGAATTATCAGAAAATTTCATGAGACTTTATTTTGTCAAAATGTCATTCAATAAATTAAATTTTATTTTTATCAGTTAATGTTACCATCATTGGGTGAAGACATACAACAAAAATTTTCAGAAAAGTATTATGGAATAAATAGGTGATTGATTGTTGTGATGGAATATGAATTATTTACTCGAGAAAATATGATATTGGCCTCGGATAATATCATATTGACACTTGGGCTGTCACCCTTGGTCAATATGATATTTTCCTTGGTCAATATAATATTTCCCCTCGAAATAGAATTCATATTCCATCCCTCCTATTAAATAACCTCTATATATATCATGTTTATAACACATGACAACAAATGTACTTCCCTTCCCTTCAAAATAGCCAATTATATTTTTGTTCCCTTTACTCATGGTCATTTTCTCTTTACCTCTGAAAATATATGTATTTGTTTCATATACTTTATTTTTATATTTCTATTGTTTTGTTTTAGTGAACTGGTTGTCTCTGATATATCTAGTGGTCTGTATTCCCCTTGGCCTTGTTGCGTCCTGGATGTTAGATACATTTGGACTCAGATTTGGTGTAGGTAACATGTTGCGTTATTTAAACATGCTCTCTATTGTTTTAAAAAAATATATATATCCATCAAATTATGTCAGTCTTTTCTGATATATTATAATATCATCCCCAAACCCCTAAAACTTTGCTCTGCATTGCATGGTCCCACTCTTTTACAAACCTGAATCTAGTTATTAACTGAGTTACCTTCAGTAATATATAAAAATTTTGTTTGAAAATTGTTGATATTTCACTTCTCTCAGTATTATACATTACATGTACGCCATTATATTTGTAGGATAACATTATTTTCTTTGTAGATTATCCTTGGAGCGTGGTTGAATGCTATTGGTGCAATAATACGTGTAGTCAGTACATTGGATATTGGTAGCAACATCAAGTTCCCATTGGTGTTGACTGGACAATCTATTGCAGCCTCAGCGCAACCATTACTTCTGTTTGCACCAACAAAGATGGCGGCTTTATGGTTTAGTGATGGACAAAGGGCAACTGCTAATATGATTGCCTCAATGTGTGAGTTCTTACAAATAACCATTCATTTACATATTTGATTTGTGTGTATTGCAGTACATCAAGCTTACAAGTGGTGACATGTTGTTGTTGTACATTGTAGTCTCCAACTTTTTTGTTTACGGTGTTCAGTGTCTGTAACAAATGGCAGGTGGTGCAGTTTGCATGTTAAAGCCCTTTGTAAACACTATAAGAGTCACTTATTTTATAGAGTACCGTCACATAGTGTTTTTTGTCCAAGGTGTCCACATGATGTTAAATGCAAATAGAATATACTTATGTAACAACTCAGAAAGCTAAAGTTCCATGGTGAAAAATATGATGCGTACTATGTAAATTTAACTGAGTTATGTATTGTTCATGTGTATGTATTTTTATGTTGCAGTTATTGTGGTATTGTACACGATATCTATTATTATCTCAATTACGAAAAAATAGTATACTACTTCTTTTGATTCCAATGATTTTCTGCCTCACTACATATATTGTTAAACTAAGTCTATACTGCAAACTATTCATTAAACCCTATTAAATAATCATTCAGTATAAAAAAAGATAATGGATGTTGCTCTAACATTTCAATCTGTTCTAAAAAATGTAAGTATTTCTGTCTTTTTCAGCCAACCCACTCGGTATCCTCATTGCCAATGTTGTGTCGCCAGCCATTGTTTATGACGTCTCCAAGTTTCAACTTATGGTGAGTAGAATAAAGATTCTCTTCACATTTACATTTTTTCTCATAACAAGTACATTTAAATGTATTTAGCTTTCTCAGGTATTAAACAATGTTTTAGTTTTACTGAGATATTTTTGGTGATGAAACAAAAGTACAATCTAAATGTTTTTCAACAAAATCAACAGCAGAATTGCCCCTTCAATTTCATGAACAAAATCATGGTTTGCCAAAATCATAACTTCATTGTAAAGAATTAAGTCCATGAAATTGTATTCACATCAGGACTAGTATATCTATTTTCATATTTTCAGATTATAATATTTGCTATCCCAGCTGGTGTTGGTGTTATCATGGCAACTGCAGGAATATGGAGTTCAGTTCCCCCCACCCCTCCCACCTCCAGTGCTGCTAATGTGTCAGAACCTTTCTTTGAGGGGCTGAAGAAGGTATGTTATCTTACAAAAATCAGCAGTGTCCAAAAAGAGACGCACTGTAGCATTTGAGGGAAACAGTCACTTTAGAATCCTTTCATCCAAAAATTGTTTTCATTTTTGGAAATGGAGCAAAATAAGAAGTTATGCTGAAATTGATATACATATGAAGATTAAAAGTTTGATACTGTTTTTTGCATCTAGCAAAAATTTGGTCACACAATCAAAATTCCTAATTTTGCAATAAGTGTAAAAATACTTTTTGCTACTCTCATTACAGTTATAAGTATCGACCTTGGGCCAGTACATTTCCCCAAATTGAACAATGTATTTGATTTTGATTTCAATTTTCTTTACAGCTAGCCAAGAACAAGGCTTACTGGGTACTTGCTATATCATTTGGTTCAGGTTTGGGGCTGTTCACCTCACTGACAACTCTACTGGAGCAGATCCTCTGTCCTAGAGGGTATGGAAATGTAAGTCACTTTTAAATATGCCAGGCACTCAGTTTCCCGAGGCTTGGTAAATTGAAATTTCTGAACATTTTCACTGAAGTCAAACAAAAGGGAGATATCAATTGAATTGCATTGAATTTATTCATACAAGGTTGTATGGCTTCAAATTATTTTATTTTAGAAGTTGCCATTGCCGTCTGGTCCGTCTATTATTCACACTTATACCAGCAGGCTGTGTGTGCTCTTCTACAGGCCGCATCTTTTCCTTTACTTCCTGATGGAAAACATTCAAACTTTTCGTCACACTTTTGCTGGCATGGATTTCCATAGTCGTCATCTGCCATATTCCTCAAATCATGGCTGGTAACAATAACCACGAATGCGAGTACCAATGCCAGAATTGCAACACACTTCATTTTGTCCTGAAGAAAATGGAAAGGCATTAGAAATGCAGATCATTACACCTTTCATTTCATATACATTCATATTTTTACCTTTAACATGTATATTGTTATTGTTGTAGAACGTGGCTAATAATGCTCAAAGCAAAGCCAGTTACACATGTACAGTTGTATTGTATTCTTTGTGCAAATGAACAACTTAATAAAAAAGGCATTGCCAAAATTATCTGTAACTTGCAAGTTGCCACATCAGGCACCTCGTTCAAACGTTGATCATTTCAGAAATTTTACGTCACAGTTCATCAAAAATGTAAGTTACAGACTTCAACAGTTTTTTATGATGGTTATCAAGAAGTTCGCTATGTTATGTTTAAAGAAAAGTATGTGTAATGTTTGAGGTGTGTAATATTTCAATGCAACAATCTTGCCTCAATCATTTGTTTAAATACAAGGCCTTTTGAACTCCCCACCCTTCACTACTTAACTGCACACCTTCTCACACACAAAATTAAGTGGATCAAGAAAACAGGGTCTTAATGCATTAGACTACTCAATCATGCCATTCCTAATTTTCTAAAATAATATGCTTTGATTTTTAAGGTTATTTCACGATGATTTTGATTCAGTTCTTCAATTCAATACATTTCTATTTTCTTCTTATTAAGAGAAAAAAGTGAGAATGAACAAAGACAAGCACCTAATATGTGTTTTTTATAAATGTAAACCAAAAATTCCCTGAGTATATGAAAATTGTTATTTGTTTTCTCTTGTCTTGTCTTTCTGCTTAAAATGAATTCATTTGATAAAACAAATGTTAATTTTCTGATTTTATGACAAAATTGTTATTTAGCTTGATGGTAAAAAAATCAGTTTGTGTTTATTTGATTGCCCCTTAAAGTATGTAATACTCACTTTTGAACTTTTCCTCAGACACCTGGAAGAATGCTGTTCAGGAATATTGGTGTCTCAAACCTCTTCACTTTTATAATGATTTCCAATGAGATTTCATCATCTGGAACAAACAATAGAAAATAATTCTATGATGCCCAATTTGATTGATTTAATCAGTCAATTCAAAACAAGCATGTTTTCAAATGAAATAGGAATTTCAACATGATTAGGTAATAATAGAAAATAAATGGATTTTATTGATATTATTTAATTTTAGTGGCGTCATCAGTATCTATTTTTAGCAAAAGATATTTCTCTTTGTTAAAATTTATTATGTTCCCCATTGAGTTCAATATTCAATAGTAAAAACCCTTTTCTATGGACTTCTTTTATTCATTGGAAAAACTTCAAAAATTAACTTTTTTGAGTAAAAAGCAGTTTTCCTATCAAAGTTTAGAAGTCAGCAAGTTGTTAACTTTCAAAATAATCCAAAAGTGAGTTGTGCAAAATATGAGGAATAAATTTTCAGTAAATTGATTAATTTTTCCAAAAATCTTTTTCAATTTTCATTAATGTGAAGCATGGCTCCAAATCGCAATTAAGTGTCTCATGACATAATAAAGCTGGGATTGCCAGGTGGTTTATTGAAAATGTTTCAGAAAGATATTAAAACCATAATCTACTTCATTGTCTTCAAATGCATTTTAAACCTATGTGTACCAAAATAACATACTTGTAGGTTGATCACTCTTTGATTATAATCCTTCTGCACATGTGCCACACAGACAAACCATTTGAAGGGCTTGATTTCAAGTAATCAGGGATGTTGTATTTCTGGTGAAAGCCTAGACCTTGATCTTAGATGACATGAATTCTTAGTTTTCTAGCATCAACAAGATGTAATATTCCATATCAGAGCTCTTATACTGTATATTAAAAATTGTTGGTTTTGCTGTAAAACCTAACTACCTGTATGTATATTGTGATTTCAGTCATTCTCTGGACTATGTGGTGCTCTGCTGATTGCGTTTGGCATATTGGGAGCTGCGATTGCTGGCATTATCGTGGACAAGACAAAGAAATTTGAGGAGGTTGCGAAGTTGCTGTATGGGTTTGCAGCCATAAGTGGAGTTTTCTTTGCTCTGGTAAGCTCCATCTTTGTATGAACACAAATTCATTGATTTGTAAGAAATATGTATTATAACTATTTGTATTGTATATTGATACATTTGGTTTGGCCAGTAAAGTAAAGTAAAGTTAAAGCTAACTTTCAATTCACCATTAATAAAGAATAGGAACTGCACTCTATTTGGTGCATCCAATTTGTTTAGTTAACTGTAAATTCTATAAAACTCAACAGTGTAATTTGAGCTTCAGAAATATTAATTCAATTAATATGAGGCAGGAGAATACTGTATATGTACAAGTATATCAAGCCAAGTAGATCATTTAATTCATCCAGGCCCTGGACAAAAAGCTGTTTAATTTTTCATATGATTTCACCCTGGTAGAGCTGTTATGTATACATTGTCCAATCCACTTCTAGATTAATCAATAACTGCTCTATTAAATGTTTTCCAGATTGCCAGGGAGATAAATCAGGCTGTGTTAATCGCTGTAGCAACCAGTTTGTTTGGTATGTTTGGGTTTGCGTTGTATCCTATATGCCTAGAGCTGTCAGTGGAGTGTTCCTACCCTGTGGGAGAGGCTGTCAGTGCTGGGGGACTCATCATATCAGGGTAAGGAATGAGCATTGTGATTGCCATGGTTTTCTGCTTACATTTAAAGAGTACATTGTTCCTGTTATGTGCATAGGACTTCTATTTTTAATGTAGTGTCATGTCAATTCACGGGTTTTGATTTTTGCAAAATACAACTGCCTGGTTATCTCTGTTGTGAAACAGCAAAATGACAAGGGATTTGATAATATGTCTTTCTGATGGGATTTGCTACTCCGGAGGGTTGGTGTTTTTCTAGTATTCATCATGGTTTCTATTTCCTAGGCAGATCCAGGGTATCATATTCATCATTGTTTCTATTTCCAATATACAGGCAGATCCAAGGTACCTGTATTATATTCATCATTGTTTCTATTTCTTTTATACAGGCAAATCCAGGGTATTATATTCATCATTATGTTTGTTATGAAATACTTAATTGTTATATACTTATTTACTGTATGTAATTTTGCCTAATACCCTTTATTTGGGTGATGGTATAACAAATAAAATTGAAATTGAAATCATTGTTTCTATTTCCTAGGCAGATCCAGGGTACTATATTCATCATTGTTTCTATTTCCAATATACAGGCAAATCCAGGGTATTATATTCATCATTGTGATGCAAGTGTTGGCCCAGGACCTTTCACCATTCCAGAGACAGTTCCAGAATTGTGAGAATGGTAGTGCACCTATTGAAAAACAAGATATTAAAGATTTTACAAGTAAGTTGCACTAGATTTCCAGGGTTGCCAGAGTCGGGAAATGTTAGTGAAATGCAAAATGGAATTAAAAAATTTTGAGAAGTCATGGAATGTAACTAAATTGTTTATTTAATATACCTATAGCTTAAAGCATTTTTATCAATGAATTAACTAATTATTCTCAGAATGATCCAATTGATTAGATATTCTGCAAATAAAGATATCTTACAAGTATTTTTCATTTCTGAATTATAAAAGTATATTTATATGGACACTTTGTAGTAGTTTCCACTCTAGATGAGAATCTCCATTTCATGTTCTGATTGAGTCAAAATGATTTGCATAAATCAAGAATCACATTTGAGTACTCTCAGTTGAAATATGCCCCCCTCCCATTTTCCCCCACATTTTCGATGTGATCTTGCATATTTCACAACTTTCAGTTCATGATATATAATGTGTATTACTGTGTTCCTGTGTACTTGATTCCTGTCTTAATTCAAATTGTATTGCCATTTTCAGTCAGTTTCACTAGTTCCGTAGGGGCCAAGGGGCAGGGAGATATTCCCTAATACTTAAACTGTTTTCTTCCATTTCAGTTCCTCTGCTAGCCTTCTGTGCAGTAGCTGCAGCCGCCTCAACCTTTCTCATATTTGGCTTCAAGACTGAATATAAACGTTTGTTAGCAGAACAACAACTTGCTGCAGAGAGAATCTTGCATTATGATAGTGGTATATATAACCCTGCAGCAGCCAATCAGTCATTAGAGTCACAACCAAGTTCAGACGCACAGACAGACAAAATGGCCGCTGATTCTTAGCAGACGGCATGGTCTCTTAGGAAATCCAGTGTGTCAGTTATCAAAATGCAAAATATAAAACCATGATTTTTATATGTTTAGTTAAGATTTTGTACTATACGACTATAATGAGAGTTTCTCATAATTCCCAGTCCTACATGTCAGGAACAAAAGATAGTGCATGTAGTAATCATATTATGTTAAATGGTGCCTTATAGAAATACTGTCTGTTTCATGGTGTGGTTGCGACTTCCAACAAAGGGAACAATCAAAAATTGCATCCTATTTTCACTCTCTGAGATGTGATTAATCTGAAATAGTTGGTTCTTTTTGGGGTGTATTTATCATAAATAAATATTGAATAAGCTCGCTACTGTTAAACAATGCAACTAGTCTAAATGAATACTTATATTAAGTAAAAAAATATTGCTGAGATGAACGGCAAAGGGATATCAGTTATAAATGACCTTGAAACATTTGCCTTACCCTCAAAGGATGAACACCAGAGACACTGTTATGAAAGTTTGAATATAAGGGTGCACGATATTGCAGTCCCCAGGATATTTATCCAGTTAAGATAGATTTTGAGTGTACAATTTGAAGTTAATTTTTCAGTTAATAGAATGAATTTTGTTGTAAGATTAGTATATTTATTTTTTTAGTAAAAGATTAATGATTCACAATGATTAAACAATTATTGTAAGTTATTCAGGAATCCATTTTTCAAAAAGCAATACATGAAATGTGCCACTCAAGATGGATGCACATTTAATTATTTGCAGTTAGCAACATGTTAATAGAGAGCTTTCCATATAAGTTTTCAGCCAAACTTATACTGCAACTTTTAAATGACGAAAACGCCACTGGGGAAAGTACATTTCATTAGAAAAATGTTCCTCGTTTCCTTGTCCAGGGAATTGATTTGTGAATATCACAGCAATGGCAGAATTAATTTCTAAGTTGTAATCATATTTTGAAACCGTAACTCACGAACTATATTTTTTGCCATTTGAAGGATGAAAGCACACTATCTTCAGGCCCGTAGCCAGGGGGGTTCGCAGGGTTCGGGCCAACCCCCCCTGGCCAAAAGTTCTTTCAAAATCATGCAGTTTTTCACCATTTTGAGCACTTCTCAAGTGATTTTGACCATATTTGGGCCTAAATTGTCAAATGTGAACCCCCCCTGGAAATTTTTGAAAACTGACCCCCCTTGGCAAATCCTGGCTACGGGCCTGATCTTCGTTTCCAGACTTCCTCCCCAGTGCTATACCTGAATTGTACAAGTACAGGTTTTCCTATATATATTCCAAATAACTTATATTGAAAGCTCTCCATTTTTGTGTTTTTACATGAACTTGTTCACGTTTTTATTGAATTTATTATGCATGAACAAGCCTAACGATAATGAATTTATACCAGTATGTTGCATTTTGTATGTTTATTTCTGTATATAATTAGTCATATGATTTATATTATGTAAACATTGGTTGTGAGCTGACTCCTGTTGTTTTATACTCACAGAATAATAAAGTATATTTATTTTCTTAAATATTTATTTTGGCGTCAGTATTCTACTTAGTACATATTTTGATATTTGACTGAGGCATATTAATTTGTTGTTATTGGAAAATAATTGATATTTGACTGGTTGATATCTTAAGGTTATGGTAAAATTAGATCCGAGAGATGTAAGTAAATACATATAACTTCTCTATCGCTCTACTGGTACCATTTCACACGTTCAAGAAAAAAAAACTAAGTCCTGGCATGGGCATCCAATTAGATCTGTTGTCCTGGTTGAGATGGCGGTGCTTTTAAAATTTTACACTTTTCAGTCAGCGTTTTGATTAGAAAACGTCAAATTAAACAAGAAAAGATCGAATGCTTCACTAAGTAGTCAAATGTTGGCCAATAGATGGATGAACATGAACTTCCCTGTCTCAGAAATCGTGATTCATCACGAAAATACGTCCAAGAAATACAATCAATTCTAATTGCATCTCTCAGGTAGCATTCATTGTTGCATCACATTGTTACCTGTAAAAGAAACCATGATCTTGAATACTGTACTCATACTTGTGATTATGGCGTAATTATAGAACAATGGTTCGTTGCTAAGAAAGTCAGAAATACAATAACTCAATCTCTAAGGTTACCCGACAACAGAATGTGATTGATGTTTTTTTCTGGTAACCTGATTTTAGTTTCTTACAAAATCGTTAGGTTTTGGTACTGTTTTGGAGAGCTTCCTCAGACCTTATCATGGCGACTTCCGGGGCAAATGTTTCCGAGGATCAACTGGAAGAACTATTCGACTCTTACGCTTCTTCATCGACGTCATTGGGAGACAGAACTAGATGTACAAAACGTAAGACGCAAATGTACATTTACTTCACCACTCAATAAGGATGTCAATTTGATATTTTATAACACGTCTTTTTCACATTTGTAATAAATGCATTAATATGATTATAATGAACGTAGTCTGGGTACTGTATCTTGTAATGTTGCCCTTTGTTATTCATTTTTGTGGAACAGTCTTATTACAAATAAGAAATTACAAGTGTCATGTAATTGTCATATTGTATTGTTGGGCTGGCAAGCCATAATTATTTGTATTACGTCATGATCGGGGCTTACGCCATATTGAAATAAACTGGACAAAGTCAGCCAATATATCTCTTAGTGTTATTCGAAATATAACGTAACAGAACATGGTGTCAGATGTGGGATGCGAGCCTACGGGGATATAAAACCACAGAGAAAAAGTAGGACATGTAAAAATTGTCTGAAAGTGACCAGATTAGAGGTATTTTTGGATTTGAACTTTGATTGCCGGTGAAATTTTGTGCAAATTTCGAGCATGACATTTTGCGCACGACACGGATTACATCATTGCTTTGCTGATATGTGCACACGACACGGATTAAGCCATTGCTTCGCGGAGATATGCAAATGACATGGATTGCGTCATTGCTGCTGTACAAAAGTAAGAATTTGAGTCCAACTGATATTTAAACTTGTGAACTGTACTTCTACTCTTGTGTATTAACTATCGTGATTATATTGTCATCTTTGGATTATTATAATGGCCAAGATACAGCCTCCAAACCCTTTTAACTTTGATAAACCCAATGAGTGGATTGCTTGGAGAGAAAGGTTCCTGAGGTTTAGGCTAGCTACAAAACTTAACAAAGAGGATGATATTACACAAGTCAGTCAACTTATATATATTATGGGCCAATCCGCAGAGGACATATACAAACAGTTTACGTTTGAGCCCTTACCAGTTGCTGAAGATGGCCAAATACTTGATCCGCCAGACAACAGGTACAATTTTGATGCCGTTTTGGGCAAATTTGATAACTATTTTGTGCCAAAGATAAACATTATTCATGAACGAAGGGTCTTCAACCTTAGACAACTGGGAGAGTCAGAAACAATGGAGGAATATATCCGAGATTTGTATAAACTGAGTCAACATTGTTCATTCGTTGACAGAAACGAAATGATTCGCGATAAGATCATCGTTTCCATCAAAGACAGAGACTTGTCAGAGCGAGTCCAGACACTTGCCATGACGTGTGATCTCACCCTAGAGAAAACTATTGAACTAGTTCGTAGTCATGAACTTATAATATCACAGTCTCAAGCTGAAGGGAGACCTACTGATACAAGTAACGTTGATTTTGTTCGTAAGCGACCCCCGCAACAGAGAGCTACACGACAAAACTACAGAAAACAAGACCAGGCACAACACAAAGCAGACAAACACAAGTGTGACAGATGTGGCTACATTCACAGAAATGATAAATGCCCTGCTAAAGGAAAAACCTGTCATAATTGCAAGAAATTAAATCATTTCTCAAGTGTGTGTAAATCAAATAAGAAATCTGTTGATAAAAGAGTTGTACATGAATGTTATGATGAATGTGCTGATGCCGATCTTGACACTACTGAGTTTCATGTAGGTGAGCTTGTGCATTTGGTTGATTCTGCCAAGTCACTGATTGTAGATAGGCACACAGAGCCACCATGGCGTGTGACCTTACCCATTTGTGGTAAATTGATGAGTTTCAAGATCGACACAGGCGCTGATGTAAATGTTATGAGTAACAAAGCATATGAATGCCTTACACCAAAACCTAGGTTACAAAGGCATGATGGTCCTCCACTGAAGTCAGTAGGTGGGGTAATAGATACAAGAGGTTACTTTATAACAAATAGCAATCTTGATGGTACCAAATTCTCAATGAGAATATTTGTATTAAATGGGCCAAAGTGTGATAACTTATTGTGTCGCAGATCTGCTAAAATGTTGAATCTAGTTACTAAAAATGTACATGTTGTAACTCAGACCTCTCAGAGCGAGGCAGGTAAAAATGGACTTCTGATCCTGGTAACCATAGAAATAAAATTCCAATGCCCCCTAGTAACAATACTTCTGAAATGCCAGGTCATGTAAAAGACCCCATAAATGATAATGAATTGTATGGGGAAGTGGGTACAATGAAATGTGAGCCTGTCAAAATTGAGTTGAAGCAAGATGCTGAACCATATGCTGTTGTGGTACCTAGGCGCGTTCCATTTCCTATAATGAAACCATTACAAGAAAAACTCGAATCAATGGAATCCAATGGTGTTATTGCCAAGATAACTGAGCCTACTGAGTGGTGTTCACCCATGGTCCCGGTAGTTTCAAAATCAGGAAAAATTCGCGTGACGGTTGACTTTAGAAAACTTAATAAATCCGTTAAGCGCGAGAGATTTGTCTTACCAACCATTGACTGTATATTACAGAAACTTTCGGGAAGTTCTGTCTTTTCAACCCTCGACGCCACAGGAGGTTTTCATCAAGTGCCACTTAGCGAGGTAAGTCAGCGTTTAACAACGTTTATAACACCCTTCGGTCGTTATGTATACAAGAAAATGCCACAAGGCATATCGCTTGCTCCAGAAATCTTTCAAAGAGAAATGTCGCGCATTTTGCAAAATTGTTCTGGAGTAGCAGTATTCATGGATGATATTATCGTTCATGGTAAGAATGTAGAAGATCATGATAAAAATCTCAAACAAGTCTTACAGAGAATCAAACAGTCCGGTCTTGTTCTCAACAAGGCGAAGTGTCATTACCGGAAGCCCGAGCTCGTATTTTTAGGGCATAAAATTAGCGCTAATGGAGTCTCGCCAGACCCAGCCAAAGTTGCCGCGATAGTGGAAATGGAAATTCCTGAAAATGTTGAAGAATTACGACGATTCTTAGGCATGATAAATTGGATAGGTAGGTTTATACCAAACTTATCTACAATGCTTCACCCATTGAATGAACTTTTGAGAAAAGACACAATTTGGACATGGGGAAAAGCACAAATGGATGCCTTTGAAACAGTGAAACAGAAGGTAAGTAATAAGCCTGTTCTAAAATACTACGACATCAATAAGCCATCGCGTGTTAGTGCTGACAGTAGCTGTTACGGGTTAGGCGGTGTCTTAGAGCAACAGCATGGAACAGATTGGTTTCCTGTTCATTACTGTTCTCGTTCATTAACTGATGCCGAACGCCGCTATGCTCAAATTGAAAAGGAACTTTTGGCAGGGGTGTGGTCAATGGAAAAATTCAGTCAGTATTTGGTCGGACTAGAATCATTTGTATATGTGACTGATCACAAACCTCTGGTGCCAATTATAAATCAAAAGGATCTTGATCAAACACCGGTGCGATGCCAGAGAATGCTAATTCGTCTCATGAGGTTTAATTGTATCGCTGAATACAGACCCGGAAAGACATTAGTCATAGCAGACACATTGTCTAGAAAACCGCTTAGTAGCATGGAATCAAACACTGTAGAAAGTGTGACGGAATATGAGAGTTTCATATATGATAACCTACCAGTCGCGAAGTCGCGTCTTGAGAATATTCGTGACTTGTCACAGATTGATCCCGAAATCTCAACAGTCATGAATTATGTTCTTCATGGTTGGCCGGAATATTACAAAGACGTGAAAGAAGTTGCCAAGCGATACTATGATTGTAGAGAATCCTTGAGTGTTGTCAATGACATACTTATGTATGGTAACCGTATCACTATACCGGCTGCATGTCGCAATAATATTCTTGATCAAATTCATGAGGGTCACTTCGGAATTCACAAATGCCGTGAACGCGCTAATGCGACAGTATGGTGGCCAGGGCTTACATCACAAATCAAAGAATTGGTGGCCAAATGTAAGCACTGCCAAATTTTGAAACCTAAACAGAGAAGTGAACCATTAATTCCAACAAAATTACCAGATCGCCCCTGGCAACAATTAGCAACTGATTTATGTGAATGCTTCAAGAAGCAATATTTAGTCACAGTTGATTACTATTCTCGCTATCTAGAAATTGCTCATGTTAGGGGTAGTGTCACAACAACTCAAATCATAAACAAACTCAAAAAGATATTTGCCAGGAATGGTATCCCTGAAGTGTTAGTATCAGATAATGGACCACAGTTTAGCTCAAAACAATTTGCAGATTTCGCAAAAGAGTTTGATTTTAAACATGTAACATCAAGTCCCAGATACAGTCAAAGTAACGGTCTCGCAGAAAGAGCCGTCCAAACTGCCAAACGTATTCTCAAATCAGAAGACCCCTTAAGCTCCCTTATGAATTATCGGGCCACTCCAGTCAGTTCTACAGGTAAAACGCCAAGTCAATTACTCTATGGTAGACAAATCAGAACTAAATTGCCAGTTTCGCCTGAGAATCTAAACCCAAATTGGCCTGATAAACAGGAAGTTCAAAACAATGATGCTAAAGCAAAATCACTGTATGCCAAACATTTTAACAGATCTCATGGTGCAAGAAAACTTGAGAAACTGTCCCCTGGACAGTCTGTGAGAGTGAAGCTTGATCAGGAAAAGGCATGGAGTAAACCATATAAGGTTCTCAATCAAGCTCACACTCCTAGGTCATACATTATCAAAAGTGACAGTGGAACTTTGTTCAGGAGAAATCGTAGACATTTGATGCCAACAGGCCATGATCCTACTCCAACTCCTGAACGGGGTTCTAAAATGCTTAAACCAATGGTGTTTTTCTCGAGTAAACATCCCAAGGAGGGAGGGATAGATGGTGGTGGTCAAAATACTAATAATGTTCCACTTACTAGTAATACTACACCAGTCTCTCATAGCTCTATTATCACTGAACCAAGTTCTAGTTCTCCATTAAGGAAATCAAAGAGGATTGTAAATCAGCCAAAATGGCTGAAAGACTATGTAACTTGAAATAATACTTTTCATGCACATAAACTGTCAAGACTCAAAAGACAGTAGTGTACATTTAGACATTAAATGACTAAAGCTCATAATAATGTACACATACCGTAGTTAACGTTTGTTTAGATAATGATCTTTATAAAATGTTCAAACAGCACAGATTGGTGTGGATTACGTTTTATAATGCATGTTTTATTTTAAACATTTGTATTGATTATATGTAAGACAATCTTTTGTTAGAGATGTGTATAAGAAAAACAAAATCAGCATACAGTATTTTCTACTACCGTATTCAACATGATAAGTGCACAGGGTGAATACAGGTTTGAGACATGGACTCATAAGCAGTGAATATTGACTTTATACCCTGCTATATATATCTACAGATGAAGACTCTCAAAATTGTAGACACTTTTAAACATTTAAACATAAAGCCTGATAAAATTACTGTATCATTCAAAAAGAAAAAAAGGGAGATGTCATGTAATTGTCATATTGTATTGTTGGGCTGGCAAGCCATAATTATTTGTATTACGTCATGATCGGGGCTTACGCCATATTGAAATAAACTGGACAAAGTCAGCCAATATATCTCTTAGTGTTATTCGAAATATAACGTAACAGAACAACAAGGTAATAGAAATCGTGTCTGATTGCTTTGCCTTTGTTATTTCACCGGTATTTACATGTCCGCAACACTTAATCAATTATAGTTAGCATGATCCATCAATGGAATGATCGTCATGCTTTTATATTCGAGCTAGGAAGTCAAGAGACAGGCATCATGCAGGTTACCCTTCGCAATTGTTTGACTTGGCTTTTTAAAAGCTAGCTCCGTTTAAAACTAAATGGTACTCGGGGCAAGGCATGGTGGGTTTTATTTTTATGAAGAAATAAATATATCTGAATAAAAATGTTTTACTTTAAGATTTTACTCTTCTCTTTCAGCCAGGCGCAGTCCCATGGGAAGTTACATAGTTCCTAAAGGAGGGAAACCATTGACTTCGCTCGGTAAGTTACATTTATCGCCTATAATCAGATATTTAAAAAAAAATGTTAAATACGATTTTCATGTTTTAATTTTGATTCTAGCATCGCTGTATTTTATCTTTTAATTTGTAATGGATTGACTTTGTATTCAACAATAAGTATGTGAATCACAAGACGCAACTCAGCAGAAAGAACAACTATAGACTAGCATTTATCAATTTTATTTTGCGTACAAACACATTTAATCCAATGTTCGATACATTCACTCTCCAATGTGCGCCTTGTCTAAATAAATTGTTTGTTTATTGGTACACCCAAACGGTTTATTGTGAGTAAAAGCAACTTTCATTTCAGCCCGAGATTGCATACCCGCCCCGTCAGACTACAGCCCAAAGATTGACTTGATTAAGCCATCTGCACAGAAATATTCCATTGCCGGACCTTGGAGAACTTCAAAACGTATGGCAAAATGCGTTTTCTTTTTTTACGTTGACACAAAATTAATTAAGAGGGGTTGGACGTGTGATTAAATGGTATTGACTGGATATGATAACGTGATTTCCATTGTGCTTTGGGGGGTTGTCAACCAATGTTATTTTATACTTTTATGGGACGTATCATTTTTGTCAACAACTTCCACGGCCTCTGTGTTAGAGATATTAATTGATGATAGGAGTGAAACAGAAAAACAAGGCGTTTGACTGATTAAAATACAAAATAGCATATTTGAGATCGATTTGTTTTATGTTATCAAACCAAAACACTTTTATCGGTCAAACTAAAAGAAATTGTTAGTTTGGTTGGCTTATATTTTATCGTACAGGCGACAACTTCCTACCGTCCCCAGCCGACTACCATACAGAGAGTGACATCATCTGGAACCACAAAAGTACGACTATCAAGGGCAAAGGTAAGATGTGCGTCACAGGACAAGACCCCATGAATAACAGTATTGGCCCTGCCAGTTACAAGGTAGAGAACTTTGCTACAGGAAGAGATGGCCGAAAGATTAGAATTGCGGACAGAGAGACTGTGAGTACTGGACCGCCTGACAAGTTGGTACAGCCAGTGGATACGCATGGTAAGACACGTTGAAAAACAATACCGATTCAGCCTTTAATATCAAACCCCTGAATTCATGTACATGTATTTTCTCTCAAGAAAGTGTATGTTGAAACAATTTGATTAAATCAAATGCAACATCCATTACCAACACTGATATGCACATTGATTGAATATCAGGTCACAACACCCCGGGACCAAACCACCGCCCCAACTCAAGCTATTGGGGACGCGGACCCAAGAAGTCTATTGGTACCAGACTTAAAGAGAAAAGAGTCGACAGACCAGGACCAGGACCCGCTGAGTATACAATTCACGATCTCAATGATCCAAAGATTGAAAAAGCTGGATTTAAATATTCGTTTGGTATCCGTTTCCCATCTCCTCTGCAATGGCGACTTGGTAAGAATGTTGAGTATGAGTTGAATTTCATGTTGTGGCAATGCATTGGCGGAATGCTTCAGATTTTGGACTCATCATTTAAAGCTTTCAAGCTGTCCGTATTATCTGGACTACACGATTCAACATTTTCTTCGAGTTTAATTACATATGTAAAACGATTGAGATGTTCATGAATCAGTACTCAAGTTTAGTTGTTCCTGCATTGTTACTCAAATTTAGTTGTGCATGCTGTTCAGCGTTACTCAAGTTTAGTTGTTCATGGGTTGTTACTCAAGTTAAGTTGTCCATGGGTTGTTACTCAAGTTTAGTTGTTCATGGGTTGTTACTCAAGTTTAGTTGTTCATGGGTTGTTACTCAAGTTTAGTTTTTCATGAGTTGTTACTCAAGTTAAGTTGTTCATGGGTTGTTACTCAAGTTTAGTTGTTCATGGGTTGTTACTCAAGTTTAGTTTTTCATGAGTTGTTACTCAAGTTTAGTTGTTCATGGGTTGTTACTCAAGTTTAGTTGTTCATGGGTTGTTACTCAAGTTTAGTTGTTCATGGATTGTTACTCAAGTTTAGTTGTTCATGGGTTGTTACTCAAGTTTAGTTGTCCATGGGTTGTTACTCAAGTTTAGTTGTCCATGGGTTGTTACTCAAGTTCAGTTGTTCATTGGTTGTTACTCAAGTTTAGTTGTTCTTGGATTGTTACTCAAGTTTAGTTGTTCATGGGTTGTTACTCACGTTTAGTTGTTCATGCATTTTTACTAAAATTCTTTTGTATGCTGTTCGACGTTACTCAATTTTAGTTGTTTGTGCAGTTCGACGTTACACAAGGCTAGTTGTTCATCCAGTTCAACGTTACTCAAATTTAGTTGTTTATGCATTGTTACTAAGTTCAGCTTATTTCATTACAGCCACACACGACGACAGCCCAGCTCCCAATACATACAACCTTGGCACTACGGTTGGAAGTGCGATCGCAAAGTCGATCAGTGGAAGGCAGCCAGTCCTTAAAAACGACTTTGTTCCAGCTCCCAACAAATACCACCTTCCAGATAAGATGCAGACGTCCTCGCGGTCTTGTACGATGACGTATAGAAGCTTTGATTGCTACGAGGGCCCTCATCCAAGTCCTGCCCATTACACTATAAATAAAGTTAGTCTGAAGAAGGCACCCGCATACTCACTGAGACTGAGACTCAAATATCATGGTGAGGTTGAGAACGGTCATGACGTATGATAAGCAAAAACAGAAAACATAAATATATAATAAAATAAAATCCACATCAAAAACCATCAATTGGTAGCCTCATGAAACGACCATATTAAAACTTTGATTGTGAGCATACGTAAACCGTCAAATAAATGCTAATCGTCCTATTCCAGCTGGAGAAGACTGCAGTACGAATCCAGCTCCAGGAGAGTACTGTAAAATAAAGAAATTCACGGACAACGACGGCCCTGCGTACTCTATGGGGAAACGTGGTCGAAGTGCCAAAAGTAAGAAGAACATTCACAAAATACTCAACAATTTATAGTGTTTTAGAGCAACTTACAATAGTCTACAAAATGCTCAAAATGAAAAATTGAACGGCCAATTACAAAACCGTATGATATTTAAACAATTGAAAAAGCCTATCATACTTAAAACTGTCATAGGTTTAACTGTCATAGTTTTTATCATGCTTCAGACGATGTGCCAGGCCCCAACCACTACTCAGCGGCAAAGTGTACAGTCCCTCCTAATGCCAAGAAAACGCCATCTTTCTCAATATCCAAAAGATTTGAAGCACCAGATAGTAAGTAGGAAAATCAAAGAAAAATATTTTTGTGTAAGAAGTGAAATTGAATGCTGTTGTCGTTCACTTCTTCTAAATAATTATACCCAACTCCTACCAATTATGGTATCGTACCATTGCAAAAACCTAAATAATCCCATCCTTCATACTTCGTTAATGTAAATACCACTTTCGTATTGTAGGTAAAAAAAATAGTCCAGGGCCAGCAGCGTATTCAGTGAAGCCTCCCCAACAAGGGCCATCTTACAGCATGACCAAACGTCCTAAATCGAAAAAGAAAATGAATACACCTGCAGCGAACTCATACTGTCTGAAATTTGGGCAGAATGTGAAAGGGCTCCATACAGGCCCCAAGGCGACTCTGAAGAGCAGAGCAAGCCCCTTTGTATACTCAGGAATTAACAAACAACAAATAGTAGAGCCATCTATTCTGTAAAATTTGAATCACCTGACAGTACGATGGAATCAAATTCTAGCACAGAGATGATTTAGCACTATTCAAACTTATTAAAGACATGTAAAATTACAAAGTGTAATAAAAATCTATTACATACTGATATAACAAGTTATTATTTCTTGGATACATTTGATTTTAAGACAACAGGCTCAATATGGGTGTAACTAACTATTTAACAGACAAGATTAGGCTGTCGAGACAAATGCCTTGCCAACGATTTACAGAAAAATAATATTTTCATTATTTTTGAGTGAAACTTAAAACTATGTCCTGTCATATCATCTTTGGCAATTCAGTTTTTCTTTGTCTCATTGAAATTGTCCCTTTCCATTTTTAATCCCGGTTAGGCCTGAGCTCTTTGATTACTTCAACACATCTAGAAACAGACTGAACAAAACAGAGACATGTATCATTCCATATTTTATTACACAAAAAGTAGTTTATATACAATATCAGAAAGTTACTGATACACCAAATAGATAAAGAATACTGTAATAATGAGTCACACTTTGTACTAAATAAATAAATACTAAATATTACCATTAACAAAGTTTTTATGCTGCTTGGCATATTAATTTGAATTAATCAAAATCACATAGGATGCGATTGGCAGTTAGAGTGGACCATCACAAAATCATTCTTGTTTTCTTCGTACTATTCAAAATCCTCTATATGCACCCAGGGGTCCAGTTAAGGTCCTTCATCAGGTGGACAATCTCTGGACCCTAGGATTCAGTGCAAAAAGGTCAACCCTTTCTTACATAGCATTCAGTGCAAAAAGGTCGACCCTTTCTTACATAGCATTCAGTGCAAAAAGGTCGACCCTTTCTTACATAGTTATGATGATTGTAGAACTCCATTGCATTTTACCTGTTTATTAATGATAAGAAATGAAATCTGCAATATCCCCAAGAAATTTCCCCCAGTCTATTACACGGGTCCAAATTGAGAGTAAAAATGAATGGAGGGTGTACCTCAAGTACGGACATTTCTTATATGAGAATATAATATTGTATATGAGACTACAAATGGCTAACACATTAACTGGAATCTCAACTTAACAATAAATAAACAAAACTTACTACTGGTACTTATTTCAAACTACAGAAAGAATTCATACTTATCATTATATGTTCATGAAATTAAATACAATTACATTCATGCTGAACTCCAAACCTCTCATTGATTATAGCAATTACAACTCCAGCCTTGCATGAAATCTCTGGCCTATCTTATCTATGTTGTCCAAACTAGTATGTTTACAGTGAGAAACAGGGGTAGGGGGAGCTAAGGGCATGGATTCAATGCAAACTTCAAGATTAGTAAATATACTTATCTCATGCATCAAGTTCCTTTTTGGTCTTTACACATGTCATGAAATAATGTAGAGGGGTATCAGAGAGTTGATGCAAGACTAAAAAAGTTGAATTGTAGTTTGTTATGAAAACAATGGAGAGGTCAAAACCATAGCCAGGGGGTTGACCAAAATTGTCAAATGTGAACTCTCCCTGGTTCTTTTTGAAAAGTAAACCTCCCCTTGGCAAAAGCTGGCTATAGCTGGAGGTCATAGTTCCTTCTCTTTATCTGAACTCAATAAATGACATAAGTGTGATGATTTCAACTATATACAGGCACCTTTCACACACTCACACTCACTGCTGACTGAGTTTGATAACTAAACACATTACACAGTACTGCATCAAACAAACGTGTAACTCTATAGAGACCAATTTTGAGAAAATATCCTGAATTAGAATTCCTGGTTTTCACTATGTAACAAACAAAAATCCTATTGTCTGTTTTGATGTTGTCATAGATTATGTAAACCAGGAATCGTAATTCTTGACATATTTGAGAAACACCATCAGTCAACATCAGTGAAGATGTGAACTTCAGTTATTGTTGTTATCAAATTGACAACAATTGACACATATAGAAGTTTCCAGCATTAAGTTAGGGACTGGCAATGAGATTAACAAAATTGAATTTTGCACCATTTTTAATATTTCAAATTCTAATGAATTGCATATCTTTCTTTATAAGCCACATAGATTTGATAACAAGTAATTCATAAATTAAAATATGTTACACTACCAATAGGTCACATGTCTAAGAAAATATTAACCCAACAAAATGGCAGCCATGGGATAGAGAGTAGAAATTTAAGGCCCCATGCAAAGTTTCAAAATATGTTATAGGAGGCCTTTAACCATTGAATATTTGAAAAATAATTGAAATGTCTGATGAGATATGGAATTTAAAATTCATTAAAGATGTCTCGTTTGATTTCAAGAATAATATTTGCTAGTCTCTCTCTTGGCATGAGAATAATTGCATTTAATTTCATTCATATTTGCTATGCTCACTCTTGTCATGGTGCTGGAACACTGTCTCTATTTACAATTTGTTAAATTCTATCTTACATTCGAGTAATTTGGTGTATGTGTATGTTTTCATTAAAAACCTCTTGTACCCCAGACCCCAAATTATTTATATTTTAGAAAATACTTTTAGTATCTAGACAAAAACTATAGATTGTTTAGTTTTGCAGTCTCTGGTCTCCCCCTCCCCTTCCAATACTAATATGCCATTGAAAGAGACTGATAGATGATAATACAGAGACTCGACACAAGACTTGTTATTAAGAAAATGTACTTCAGATATTCAATTGAACATGTAATCGAGAGGTTGTAGGTTCGAATTTTATCGAGTGGAGAGAATTTTTCACATCAGCCCTTAGCATAGAATTTCATCCTATGTTTCAACTGAACAAATACTACGCAGAAAAGAAGTTGCCAGCGAGAGCTCAATTTGTGGCAGAACTACACACTTAACCATGCTTGTATCAAGTGAACCCCCAAGATTGGGCTCACCCTGTTCAAAGTCACCCTATTTAAAGTTTACACCCTGTTACTTGGCAATGATAAAAGTTCAATGGTAATTACATGTATTAAATTGTATTGTAAATTGATTTTCATTTGGTCGAGTGCTTTTTCTGGGGTTTCAAGAGGCTTAGGATCATTTCCCACACATATCCAGTTTGTTCTTCTTGCCCAGTGTGTGACCTTTCTAAGAAAATTGAGGCTTAAACGATATACACATCTCTTCAATAAATATGGCATGGGCTCCAAAGCTATATTATTGCACAATTGGGACTATATTTCCACTATTCAGTGACAAAATCTCGCACTAATGTTAATCTCCTTTTTTCTGCAACGTCCATCTGATTTTCCAAATCCTGGAAAGTAAAGATCGAACATTTAGTAATAAGTTGAATAAGTTTAATCTAATGACATTTATCTCTGACATTATCAGACAGAAACCAACTGCTTCCTGCTCTATTGTGAATTATGACCTCGTAGAACTCCATTGTTCAACTATGTACTTGCAATACTTGTATTTGAATTGAGAATACTTGTACTTGAATTCATTTGCAATAATTTTACTTGGAATTGCAATCTTGTACTTGAATTTGCTTTACTTGTACTTGAATTTGCAATGCTTGTTCTTGAATCTCTGATAAATCATGTTTGGAATATAATGATCTGTCAATTCTGAACTTTGTGGTTGCATTATTACATGTATTACACTTTCACAATATTTTGTGCTAATTGATGTAATTCCTCTTTGAGGAAAGTTAATAAAAAGTTTACCCCTCTATCAGTGATTTCTGCTCTCTCCACCTTCCACGAGAGATTTTCTACCTCAGCCTCCAACTGGGCCTGCTGGTACTCAAACTGCAATAGAGAATGCTCAATATGATACTCAATGCCACCATAACATGGATGGTAAAAATACATCAATTATATACTGACATAAAATACATTGATTATATGAACACCCCATACTGACATAACAATGGTGAAAATCTTGAGCACATGATATGATTGAACAACATGTATACATTGACCAGTTCAATAAAAGTTTACTTTTGAATTCCTATTCAAAACTAGATTAAAAAATGGTACCAAAAGTGTTAACATCTTGATATGTTAATTAAAGAGATGATAAAGAGCATTCACAAACAAAGATTTTAATGTAGAATCTTAGTACATTTGTAGAATCTTGGAATATTTAACAATGCACTCACCAGAGTCTTGCGTGATCCTTTCTCTAAGTAATATGCATAGGGATACGTGAACTGTAGTGTATATCGGCACTGGAATACAAAAACATCTTCGTACAACTTCACTGATTAAAATTATATATCATGGTAATTCAAATATTTATAGTAATGGCAAGTAATTTGAGATTTGACATAGTTATTACAAAAAGGTTTAACATACTGTATGTGAGACAGGGTTCAATGTGATAGGGTATATGAGTCACTGTAAATACATTGAGTTGTACCTTCTTGAGTAGGTCTGCAGCATCAAGGAGGTACTGCCAGTCAATCCATGTTCCTGTGTTGTTCATCACTTTCTCCTCAATCCTCGTCTTAATCTTGTCAAGCGTTTCCTCCTCTAGACGCAGACTCTTTGCATGATTCTCATACTAAACAACGGAAGAAATATTCTTTAATGAAGGGATATAAACATACGGGAGTTAAGAACTCAACTTCGCCTTTTTCAAATTTTGAATGACAATATGACAATTTGTATTGTTTTATGAATATATTTTCTTTTGCTGTTTACAATGACTGTACAAACACTGAAGACATGATACTATTAAATTATTTTTGTGAATAAAATTAAGCCTACCCTTTCGAAGTAGAAAAGATATTTTTTGAGCGCTTCTCTGGCCTGAGCATGTGCAGACTCATTGGCAATGTTTGGGTTTTCTTTGTATCGTGAACACTCGTAGTATTCGCTACCATGGTTCTTCCAGTCTGATCATGAAACAAACAGTTGTTAAATATAGTAAAATACAGACATTTTCATAATTATAGTATAGACATTTATTACAGAATAATAAACAAGTTGAAACTAATACAATGAATGTAAAATTTACATTATTGGCCCCTCTTTAGTGGTAGCACTCACAAACATATACTACATGTACGTTATTTAATAAATCATAATTTTAGCATGACAATATCTGCAAAACTGAGTTGAGAAAAGCTGTAAAAAGTTTTGAACTGAAATACTTTTAGAATAACATGTACTCATATTCTAAAATGGAGACAATTTGTAAAATAAAAGAAGATAGAGTAATTTGACCAATCAAATTGCTTAGAAACTCAATGATAAATTAAAATATCTCACCTCCGAGGCACATCCAACAGAAATCATGTTTACACTTTACACATTGCTGGAATAAATATGAACATTAGTCATACATAACACAATTATGTTTTGAATAATAGTTAGGGATTTTTTAATACAGTTAAATAATAACATATAATCATGATTACCTTTATTAATCATTGTATAATTTGATGACAAATATATTGAAATGCATACCAGATTTCATATCAATAATAAAAGGTTTTTGAAATTATCTGTAATGTTATATGTATATATCTGCTGTAAATGGGTGTATTAGCCTCTTGCAAATTATATATGTTGAAATGATGTTGAGGACTGATATCTTAGAATGTGATAATGAAATATGTTAATAGGCATTTTCTTACCAGATGATTACACCCTCCATTCTTCTCTATACACACATGACACTTTGGACACTGAAAATAAACAAATACAGTAAAAAAATACATCTTGGGGAGTTTACTGTACACGAACATATTATACGCTATTTTATATGCTTACACTATTTTTCAACTAATCTTCTCTAAAATCTCAAATTGTGGCATTTCTCGGGATTTGGAGAGAAGTCAACCAGAGGATTGGAGACTGATTAAGTTTATATTGCCATATCTTTTTCACAAGAGAATCATAATACTCAATTTAGTATTTCAAAAATCATGCTTTTGCTGATAATAATGAGCATGTAGAACAATTTGTTTCTTATATATAACCTGGTGAGGGTAAAGGATATTATTATAAATATTCAGAATGTGACTTACATCTTTAGTGTGTGCACTGATGTAGTTGGCTGTCTCTGAATCATCTGCACACTTTGTCAGCCATTTCTTGATGACTGAACAGTCTGTTGGGGCATGGTACTCTATGCCACACTTGAAACTGCAAGGAAAACATCAACTTTAAGGTAAGTTGCATGCGTCATATCCATTCTTAACTCTTTAACTTTCATTAATACACAGTACATGTTTATATATTTTTCATTTCATCCAAAGATGACTGAGCTTCAGAGTCCTAACCAATTTATATACACTGATAATCAATTAACTTATAGGTTTTTGTCCATGTATGCTGTTCTCAATTCATAGACTCAAAAGACAAATCATACAATGTGAAAGCACAAGAGTGAAATACAAATACAGAATGATAATGGCCATTACTGACTTACCAGAAACTTGTTTTACACTTTCCACATATGACTCTCTTGGCTTTAGGGTTCTCAGCTCTGACTATGACTTGACAGTTGGGGCCTGGGCAGAACCTCAGCTCCAGGTGGCTCTGCAAACACATGAAAATGTCAAAGCTATTCAAAAATATTTTACTTAATTCTACACAAAATCAATTTTGTTAAATGGATGATCATTCAGCATGCAAACATCTACGTGTAAAATATCTTACAAACTTTATTTGAAACTTCAAATATTCCATTCTCTTTCTTGATCAATATGTGAAACAACAAAAATGTACAAAAGGAAGATGTTTTAAAATAAACTGATTCCATCCAAAACTTAATTCATTAAAATTTGAGGTTCCAAGTAAGGTTCCCCATAAATGCGTCAAAATGAAGAGATATCCTTAGACCATACTCATAATTTATCATTAACTCACCTCCACGTAGTCCTGGAAGGCAAATCTTGAGTATTTATCTCGCATCTCAGGCTTCCCTAGGTTATCAAGGACAAAATCTTCTGTAGCTAGGACATGGCATTCATTCCCCATACACTCTATACCTACAATTATAGCAAAAATAAGTTGTCAACGAAAAAGCATGAAACCAACAGACACAAGTTATTCAGTTCTAATTTAAATCAATTCGTTAAGCATTTAGTTTGGAAATGCAAATATATGAAAAGTGAGACACAACTACTCAACAAGCTGATGACAATATTGTACCTTTTTGGTTCAGTGAAAATGTATTTTTGCCCCTGTCCATTCTATTATTTTCTCTTTAATTCAAAAAGAACTGCCCACCTCCCTATTCTTCATCATAGGCCCATTCTTACAAAATTTGGAAACTACAATCTTCATAGATCCTGAATGAAAACCTTGAATGCAACCTACATTCTAGGGTGGAATATTTGAAGATGTGTCTGACTCAGCAAATATGAAACTGATCAAATCATAAACATTGAATGCTCCCAGCAAGAAAAGTAGCACTTGTGAAAGAGAAATTATGTGGATATATATATAAATAGAGCTGTATGCGGTACTTACCTGATGATAAACCTTGACTGAGCTGCATCTGAAAGTACTGCTCCCAGCATGGTTGGCAAAACCTGTGACCACAGGCCAGGCCATGAACAGTCTCTGAGGGACAGAGGCACATACACACAGGACAGGAGAAGTTACGTGAGATCACCATATCCCTCAGAGGTTTGGTCTTAGGCATGACTTTGGCCTCTATGAGCAGTTTGTTTGGATCCTTTGTATGTCTAGAATTAACAAAGCAATATAAATATTTACATGTAATTAAAGAAGTACAATTCAAATGAAATAGAGAATGTTTAAGTTGTACTCCCAGTCCCAGGGTCGAAGGTTTATTCATTCAAGAAATATCATGTCTCGATAAACTGAATTCAAGAGCTAAATATCAAAATTGAAGTAAATATGGAATTAGTTTTGTAATATGTTTTATATGTTGTAAAAATATACTAAACATAACATTTATAGATATAGAGATAAAAATATATTAGACAGTCATAATAATATCAATATAACTTAAATCATTTATGATCAGATTTAGGAATAATCCCCCATACACAATACAAAGTAGTTATACATCAGTTATTACATCATAATATACAATATCCAGTCTATATAGTTCACTTACTTTTCTTGTATTGTTGATGTATCCCAATTGTGTTGGTAAAGTAAGACTTTGGCCAGGGAGGGGGACAGCTGAAATAGAACAGGGATAGTTACAATTTCATATAAAGCAAATTGACATACAAAATGTCACCACCTGTCATTTGTTACAGACATTGCACGCTGACTGCTGCCTGCCAGATTGGAGATTACAACAATATGTCACAACTTGTGGTGGTGACATAAATAACAAGTGGTGACATAATTAATACCATATTACAGTAAGATTAGAATTCAGCCACACTCACAAACAAAACCTCAAAAACCCATTGTGAATGAAAGGTCCATGTGCAGTATGGCAAGTGATTTTAGACAGTCATATTTTTCACCATGAGTATTTCTGGGTATAAATACAGTGGTTTTTATTAAAACACGATATGTTTTCTTTCAAGTGAAGTCCCCGTGGTAGTAAAATATCAATCCAACTCTCTGAAAAATCATGGATTGGGGCCCCACCTTGGCACTTTTTAAAAAATGCTAGGCTTACTTTCTAAAAAGAGGATCGGAAGGCTCCTCTCCATTATATTAACAATTTCTGAAAAGGGGATGGGTATTGAAATGCGTTCAAGTTAAAAACCACATATCCCATGTTATTTTCCCATAGGGAGTCCATATTAATAATTTTTCGAATTGTTCGATTGATATTTTTATCATCATGGGAAAAGAAAGAAAACATACTGTTTTAATAAAAACCACTGTATTATTTGCCCAGAAAGTACTTATGGTGAAAGATATGACCATCTAAAATCACTTGCCATACTGCACATGGTCTTTTGAATTTAAATGTTCTACAATTCTAGATATTGTGAAAAACAATTGAGATAATGTCTACTAACAGGTTCATGTATACCAGCTCAAAAGTATTAATGTTCAAACAAAACACTGCAACCTTTAACGTAAATAGTAGAAATAATATTTCATGGACAACTGGATTTTTGCCAAGGTGCAAAGTGCTTAAGGGTTGTAGACAAATTTGGAAAAATGGATTTGCCCTAAATTTTAGTTTACATCATAATTCTTTTTCAGTTTGTACCTTGGATTTGCCACTTTTCCACTTGCTGTAACACGTCTAGGTACAAGCCTTTTAATGAATTATTTATGATTATAATGATGTAAGTAAGATTAGGAAACGGATATGGACGAAAAGTTTACCAAGACGTTACAAATATTTTTCACTTGCAATCACCTCAATGCACTAAATCTGTAAATACAAGTGTTCAAATAACAAACACTAGAATGTGTGCTCTTGAATGTCTACAAGAGATGCTCAAATGACTCATTAAGTTATTAGATTTCAAATTTGGCTCAAAAGTCTGCAGGAAAACTGAAATCATAGATAGCCTTAAAATAACCAGGAAGAATGCTTTCACATTTTGTGATAAAAGATCCCAAAAATAGTAAGACGCAAAAGACTTTCAAGTTCCTTGGTTGGTTATTCTTGATCACATTTTTGGTTTAAGACATGGCAACAGGTAAATAATAATAACTTTTCACATATTAATACATTTACTCAGGTGAGTTATTTGTTGTTTTCTAAGGTCATGGTGCCACACTGAAGTATGCTGCATCATTTTATTCTACCCTGGAGGGGGCCAGGTCAAAATATCAATTTTTGATTTTAACAAAAATAAATTAACAAAACATTCCCTCTTCCTCTTTGTTAGACCCTATATGGAGATTGAATTGAAAAGTGACCCAGAAAATGTGAGACCCCCTTACTATTTCAGGACTGATATTTTGAATTGACTCCTTTGTCTAAGGGCATTCTGAGGTATTCCATTTTTAACTCCCAAAGTGAGAGGCTCTTACTTCACACACATTCTAATACTAAGGTCATACTATCATTTTCACCTTATATATTTATCTTTTATTGGCCACATCTAAGTAGATGCAAACAGGTTTGAAGGGTGTCTGGTGGATAACTAAGGCCAGAGCCAAGGCTATCAATGCTCTATTTGTGAATTTCCCCATTTTAATTTTTCACTTTTTTAGCTTTTAATTTTAGCTTTTCAACTAGATGCAAGTTCATTTTCAAATTAAATCTAAATCTGGATTGTGCACCTGGTTGCTTCAGTGGCAGTGACCTAGCCAGAAGCTTAAAATAAGTTGGCCTAAAACAAATTGAACCCTAAATGTTGAATATTGAAAATTGTTTCTATATGTATATATAATATATGAACCCTATAGGTACACAGTGAATGCGGTCAATGATGAAAATGATATATGGTATAATAGTTATCTGTAGATCCTTCTTGAGTACACTAAATGTTCAGGTTCTTAACATCCACACTTGAAGATCTCCAATTTTGCCAATTTAGTAAATGAAAGAATATATAACAGCGAACAGAAGTTACATAGTGCTTAATTACTTGACCTTCAGAGAATTGATTCTGTGTAATCAACAGACGTCTTATAGAAACATTAGATCATAAATAACTAATAAGAATTAAGCCTTATATGGAAAGCACCTGTTCGTATATAGCATACATGCAGGTCAATTGTAACAGATGGTAGTTACATGAAATCACTCACTCTCAATCATTCTACCCGGAGGTACATTTTAGATAATTAATGTAAATGTGTAATCTTTATGTCAACTGAAACCATAAATTATACTCCTTTCTTGCTCATAATTGGAAAATGTAAAGATATCTCAATATGTAAAGTTTAATTTATGTATAATATAGAGTATTTATTTTTAATAACAGAGAAATTTTCCTTTTGTTAATTTTATCCTGAACAAATAGTATTTTTGATTTATTTACTAATTAGAAATTCAAACTGAGCAATGTTTAGCGGAATCAATAATGCCTTATTAGACATATAATTAATAATCAGAGCCCTAATTCTTTAAAACATTCTGGTATAAATAAAGCATCCTAACAATGGTGAATTGATTCATTTTCCATAAAATATTCATTTAGCCGGCCCCCTCCCATGACTGAGAATGTAGTGTTCCAAACAAGTATGATTTCCTTTACCGATCATATTGACTGCACCGATCATATTGACTGCTATCGACACCATTTAAAGGTTCTCTGGATTATGAATTTCAATATAGTCAGTTTGATTTACATGACTGTTCTTCTAAGAATCTGATGTGACCATGAGGCCATAGTTTATTGTCTTGTGGACACAAGATGTCTGAACATTTTTTTACTCTGGTCCATTGTAATCTATGTGCATATACATGTAACAACTCAGCATTTGCAAACCATACTGCCATTGTTAAAAACCTTTTGTCCATATTTCTTAAATTGCCAATTTTAAAAAGTAGTTCATGAAACGATATCTTACCTTTAGAGATGTGCATAATGTTTCAATCTTTTCATTAAGTAGTCTTTCTACATCTTCAACTTCGAGTAATCTATAGTCATATGCCTCTGGGTCCTTAACTTCTGTGGGCTTTTCAAACTCATCATCACCAATCTCAGCATCATAATATCCATCATATATGTCTTCATCTTCCATATTATCATCAGTATCATTGTTGTAATCTGAATCATCAGAGCCCTGACTCTTCATATCAATACCAGACATCTGTAAATCCAAATTGATGAAAATGCTGAACAATGATGAAGTTTATAACAGACAAAGTAGTATTGTCTATTTGCCCTGATAAGTTTTTTACTGATCTAGCATAAGTTTGAAAACTATCTTATTCGTGATATAAATCAAAGTTTAAAAACAAATCATGATAACTATCTCCTTTATATAAGCTAATTGTGTTTATTGAAATGTTTCTATAACCTTCTGTTCAGCTTATTTCTTGAACAGATTTCTTGTAATCTATTTGTCTAATGTCTCCGTAGAGGTAACATTTGGTCAAATACTGATTGCGTCTTGAATTTTGATTGCTCTAACAGTCAGTGTACAGATAGCAGTCATTTTGCAAGTTTTAAATAAACAAAAATAAAAATTAAGAGGTGTTGGCTACATGTTTTGCTGTTCAATATTAAATGTTGTTTGTCCCAAAATCAAGCATGTTTAGTTTAATTCATGATTAGCTTCCAGTTCCAGAGTTTTAGTTTCAGAGGACGGGACAGGAACACTGAACTAAAATCAGAAGCAAGAATGATTCCAATAAATACAATTAGAGTACATGATATTGTAGGCTTCAAAATAGATGCCATACATAACTTATTTAATCTTGTTGCCATTCACACCAAAAGTGATAATAATTACCAGGCTATCTGATCACTCTACTAATATAGGCTTCCTCAACCCTAATATACATGTACATATAAAGCTTGATCTTGAACAGAGGAAAGTTATAATTGCTGATTTGGGACCTTTAAATTTGTACAAAAATTAAAAATCATTGATCATTGACAAATGGTCAACAAGACCAGTTGACTTGTGATCCCCAGGGGTTACCTTCTTCTAAGGCCACTATATCGTGGCCTTAGTCCAAAGATAAATCCCTGCATGTTTTTTACTGCTGTATACGGGTCATGTCTTAATAATAAAATTTGAAATCAAATGTTTGCCATTTTTCACTTCACAATTTGAATTGCGAGTTTCGGTCTTATTATATTACCTCACCAATCATTCCAAAACACACATGAAGTGACCAATGTATTAATTCACATCTTCTGGATCGCTAACTTAGAATTTACAGCCAGTTACTAATGTCAGACAATAACAAAATTTCGTCCAGTTTTTGAATACCGCCATTTTTCTTGGAGCCATGTTATTTAAGTTGAAATCCTGACGAAATCATGTAATCAAGGAGCCCAACCAGTTCCATTTTAATTCATGATTTATTTATCTGGGGATTTCTAAAATATTTAATAAATTTATGACACGACGGCCAGCTTTTTCAAAATGGTTCACGGTGTTCCAGATGAAATTACTTCTAGCCAAGCATTGGCTAGAGACTCGAGTAACCCAGAGGTTACTTTTTTCCAAGGCCGTTGTTATATTTTGACCTTGTGCCAGACTACATGAAAACAATCCTAAAATTCTCAGAATACAATACAAAATAATAAGCTAATGGGTGGACGTAACGATAAGATCCCAAGACTTTAGTTCTGGATAAGGTTATCAATTATCAACCACCCTTCAATTTTCTTTGTCTGTAACATTATACATACATACACATAACCAGACTTATCAATATTGAGGAAACGTTGTCCTGATACATGTTCATTGTCATGAACTTAAAAAATTATCCTGTTCTCATTTCTCAACACGAAGAAACAAAAGAAATCACAAAACTGAAGATCGAAAAATTGAGGAAAATAAAAACAAAACATTTTCCACTATTACGAGTGTATTTTTAAACAAATCAAACCGTTTTCAATATCAATGGAAACGAGAATTTCATACATCTTACCTTTATATCTGTTCTAACAGAATTTCCAGTGATCGTGTGTTATGAGTACGGCTGTATTTTCAAAGGAAAGGAAACGATTTATTTTGGGTGACAAATTTTTTCATGACGTCATCTCGTACTGACCTTGACCTGAAATGATCTAGTCTAGATTCTGGTCGAGAAAAAACATTTTTCTCATTTTAAGCCATTTTCAAAATTTGATCATAAAATACTTGGGTGTGAAGATCTTTCAAAGTATTCAATACCAAATTTTGTAAATATTTGATCTGTAAAAGGACGCATTTATCTTTATTTTAAAAAACATTTTGTAGGAACCTCAAATGGCTTCAACCCGCGTTCTGTCCAAGACTTTTGTGAGTATTTTTTTGTGTTTTTACACCTCACAGAGTAACAAGTGCAACTATTTGCAATCAGTTTATAAAAAGAAGAATATAATACGCCTTTAGGATCGTTAGTTTCCCCGTAACTAGCCTAAATATCTGACATTTTCAAGCTTCAATTTTTCTGAATTTTGATAATTTTGTGTTTCACTTTCGTTTTGTTTCATTTTCATTTCTTTCATTCATTTTTGACACTATTTCTGCCAATCTGACGTATCAGATCCACATAGTTTTCCTGGAAAAATAAGCTGTAAACTGACAATTCAACAAATAGATATGTGTATGTCATGGATTTTTGATTATTCATGGTTTGATTTACGCCATCATGGGCATTCAATCTATTGAAAGACCATGACGCCATGCAATCTAGGGCTAACATGTGCATGCAGTACTGTCAACCCCCAAAGATTTTCTCGCGGGACAGATTTTTTAGACCCAGTGCCCAAAATTCGCGGGATTTTGCGGGACATCTACTAAATTCGCGGGATTTCGCGGGACATTTAAGGGATTTGCGTGATTGCGCTTATAGGCCAATTTTTTTTTATCAAATTCGCGGGATTTCGCGGGACCATTCGAGGGACAAACACTCTAATTGCGGGACAGTTAACAGGTTTACCAGCAAAAACTTCATAGAGGGACAGATTTTCTAGAAAAAGTGCCCTAAATTTGCGGGATTTCGCGGGACATCCACCTAAATTTGCAGGATGTCCCGGGACATTCAAGGGATTTGCGTGATTTGGACTAATGTAAAAGCGTGTAAAAGTACTTAAATCAAACTTTCAGATACTGATTAATCAAATATAATGCACCGTTACATTGTAACTTAAATAAACGTCAACATAACTTCACAAAATACGCATAGAAATATTATTTCAATTGAAAGCCCATGGTATAGGGTTTCGATTAATCTACATCAAATTATAGGGAATGAGGTTACTTTTCTAGATAGGGTTTGTAGAAAAAACCGGGTACCGGGTAGTAAATCCTCAATGCTGGGTTCAAACTTGGTACCCGGTCGAAAAAACCGGGTACCCAAAAAACGAAATATAACATAATTAGATCATTAGAAAACGTGTAAGATTTGTTTTGAATTTACAAAAATGTATGTAACTTCCTTCAAAATTGAGATAGAAGCTTCAAATAAAAAGCATTTTAAGCCTCTTTTCTTCCTCTATCATCATGGTCCTATTTCCATTGGTAATGAAGGGGGAGGGAGGGGTGTGATCGCATCATCACACCCTCACCTGGCTACGCCAATGACATTGTAAGACGATTTGAATAACAAGGCAAATCAATTTTACTCTATTTTCAATAGTTCGTATGTTGGTACGTGAATTGTTTTGATTATGATTTAAATCTGTAAATTGCTATCGTTGCTTTAGCAGAGAGGTGACGTGTGTTAATTTACATGATGCAATGTGTAAGATTTTGATTATTAATCATAATTTAAGTTATCCCAACTGTCGACAAAATGTCCACTGAATTGTCCACTTAATTGTTATGTCTTACAATGTCATAGGCGTAGCCAGGAGAGGGTGCGGTGGTGCGATCGCACCCCTCCCCATAACCGATGAAAATATGGTCATGACGATAGAGGGAGAAAAGAGCCTTAAAATATGCTTTTTATTTGAAGCTTCTAGCTCAATTTTGAAGGATGTTACACACATTTCTGTAAATTCAAAACAAATCTTACACGTTTTCTGATAATCTAATTATGTTATACTCGTATATTCGTTTTGTTTTTGGGTAAGCTTACCCGTTTTTTGACCGGGTACCGGGTACCAAGTTTGAACCCAGCATGGAGGATTTACTACCCGGTACCCGGTTTTTTCTACAAACCCTTTCTACATATCAGCGTCCATTTATTGTAACTCGCGTTTGCTAACATTTGCTCAGTTCTGAGATGAAGGCCACACGGATAGTAAAAAGGCCAACGTTGGAACTATTTGACCTACATCCCTATTGTCGTAATTAAAATGAAAGTTGAACCCTTCCTCTTTATTTTGATACCAAACAACAGCATGCTAGGTACTTAAAATTAGGTAAACTTTACTCCTCAAAAGTGCAAAAACTTGCTTCTTATATTAGATAATCACAATATAGGGGATTGCAACAATTTCGGAAATTCGCGGAGGTCGAAAGCCACATTTGCGGGACTTTGCGGGACATTGCGGGACACGCGAATTAGCCTAATTTTGATCGAATTCGCGGGATAATCCCGCCATTCGCGGGACACTTGACAGCTCTGTGCATGTACCAAGTGTTTTCTCACTTTCAGTAATCGAGCACTAAGACAGCAGAAGATTGGGAAATGTTTGCTGTGTTTTCTAAAGCGATTGATTATGTGTTCAAACGTGATGAAAATAAAGATGAAGAAAATGATAATGAATTACACGTGTCATGTTCACGCCAGACCCGACACTTTGATGGAGTCATAACAGGAATACATAGCGGTTATGGATTAATAAATGGCGAAATTTACTTCAGCTTTGATACAATCATTGGTCAAACTCATCGGCCGAAAGTTGGCGAACATGTGACAGTGTCTGCCTATAGGGATGGACAGGAGAGTGGCTGGAAGGCCACAACTGTCTCCATATATGGTGAAGACTGGGACGATACGTCAGAGGAATTGCCAAAAGACTCTTACAGTAAATCCTCAGATGGAACCTCAGTTGATACGACCAATTTTGGAGAAGGGATTAACCCAGAACCTGAAGTGGATCAAATTAAAAAAGACACTGTTGTAGGAACAATTACTGATATTAATCAAGGCAGTTATCTCATTAATAAACTGTATGCATTTGACCAGTGTGACATCATTGTAGATGGATATATCCCTTATAGAGGAGACTGGGTAAGAGCTGATATCGAACACAATCAAACAAAAGGAGAGATTAAGATTCAAAATGTATCACCTAATCGAACCCAAAACTTTGAAGGTGTTGTAAATGCAGTCTTACAAGGCTTTGGATTTGTAAATAAGGATATTTATTTTACATTTGCTGCATTGGAGGAGGGTGCTAAAACCCCTAGGGTAGGGGATAGGGTGCACTGTGTGGCTATAGAGAGTGAACAGCGAAACTGCCAGTGGAGGGCTATCAAACTCAGCCTTGAGACCACAGTAGATCCTGGACAAGTGTTGAGAAGGTTAGGGAATCCTTGAAAGTTTCTTATAAAAACGTTTTTTTAAGAAATGTCAAGCAGAATTAAAAGAAACCTTTTTCAATACATCAGTGTTAATGTATAGTTTCTTCATTCTCTACTACAAAATCCGGAATTGTAATCTCTAATTTGTCTCTTACTTCCAGTCAGCCAGGCTTATTCCGCCATATACAACCAGGCAGATTCTCAAAGCAGCTGCAGGAGAACAAACAGGGAATTGTCATTTCAGATAATCTCAACATGGGAGAATTGAGGCTAGGTCAGCAGAGAACCACAGTTCTAAGGATCAGGTAATATGTCTTGTGTTCTGCACAAGGTTTAACAACCCACTGCAAAGTTTGGTTCTAAATATTCTTGTTTCATTTTAGATATAATGGTCGAAGTATCCTAATTTTTCATGATTTCCCACATTCTTATTGGAATGCATACAAATTTTTGACTTGATGTGATATTTCAAAGTCTGCATAACCCTCTGCAGTGCGTTGATGCAGTTCTATAATGAAGTTTTATTTAAAGAATTATTATGCCCTAGAATTAGTCAGATTTCTGATTCCACAGTACCAAAAGACACCTTGATTTAATTACTTTACAGTAACACAAGTTCCGTGTGTCATACATTATTGAAGTGTGCACCAAAGAAGCAAACAGACTGTCAGTTTGAGGTTAAAAGTTACTGTCTGGTTGCTAAAGGTGGAGCAAAGGAGATGTTAGAAGACCAGAATGCATCTGTAGCATTGCACCCTGGGAGTAATCTACTTGTTAACATTATATGTACAGCGAAGTAAGGGGGCATTTACATTATTTTTTTCTCATCTATTTAATTTATTTATATATAGTTTCTATGAATATATGCCATGAAATAAACAATAGAGGCATTCCAAATGCACTTCAAATTTGAAACAATTGAACAAAATGTATTAATAAAAATAGTTATTACAATAAGTAAATAAAGCTCGTAAATATGTTACCATTTTTTCAATTTTAGTAATTTAGGTGCTGACAAACAACTGTTGATGGCCGAGTTTGAAGGCTTTAAGATAGGAAGGAACATGAGTGTTGATGTGACAGGTGTTGGACAGCAAGCTATAGGGCCCACCAACCCCTATGTGAGGAAACAGACATTTGGAAGATATAAGACCTCTGCTGAGACACAGGGGGATACTTGGCTTGTACCTGGAGAAAAAATACAAAGGTTTGTGGCATCTTTATCACACTTTTTCAAACTGCTTTATTGTACTCAACTTGTGCTGATGGGTGTGCTTTTAAGTGTACTTTTTTGAGTAGGGGGGGGGGCAGAAAAATCTTTACATCAAAATTCCATAAAAAACGCTGGGTATATTACTCAGTGGCCATTTTTAATTTTTCTCTTCAAAGTGTGTCTTGTTATAACTCAGATATGATAAAATAAACGATATATGACCCTACATTGTATTCAACAGGAGTAAGATGAATCTTAAGATGTCCAACAAGTTGCCTCAGTACCCAGTTCCCAGGGAGGTGCGGGAATGTGTCCTTGAAGACAAGGATCTCATAGCAATTATACCTCCACTTGGTGAGGTGAGTATATTAATTCATTTATCAAACTTTCTTTGAAGTTATCACTTTTAAGGCATTTTGTATAGATTTTATCAAGATTGAGATTTGTAAGCTTGACTTGTAACACATCTTTATGTCACCACTACAAGTGTAACAAATGGTATATGTTGTCTTGTCTACATTATGTTACTGAAATATAAGACTAAAATTATGAAAAAAGAAAGCTAATGTTTTTTCATTCTATGTGAATGGGTGTATTTTTTATGTTATCTAGGAGCTCTGCCTGGAGAATTATGTTGAGAAACTTTCCACTCTGCTGTACTTGGAGGAGATACAAGAGGAGGTTGACATCAGGACATATGACATGGAGAGAGTAAGAGTCCATCTTATTAATGTACCTAAAGTATGGCATTATCAGTCTTTTTGTTGGCATGATTTGATTCTTAGTACTAAAATGTAGAACTTGTTAGTTTTTTGGACGTACTCAGTAAATCAATTTGGTGCTCATTTTTGATTTTTGATTTTTTTTAAAACAATAGGTTTATTTCATTGATATATTTTTCATGGCATAATACACAATCATGCGGCAAATCGCCTCGTTTAAAACCAAACTATCATGAGATAATGCCTCTACACAAGTAAGTATGTAATGCGGAAAGTGCATGTTTGCACAACTGGTCGATGCAGCTGCATTTAGACAGTGAATGAAGTGGGTCAATATCATGTTCAGTATTGTTGATATTTTTTCCAGGTATGTCTAGAGATGTATGGGGGATACCTCAAGCTGCAGGTGGGAACAGGCTTAGCTGAGGGGCGCCCCTCTGTGCTGGTGGGTGACTCAGTGATCCTATCTGTGCCTGAAGATGGCTACATGAATGAGACACACCCAGAATACGAGGGCATTGTACATGAGGTAAGTCTAGGGTCTAGAGCAATAATCTAAATGAATGAGACACACCCAGAATACGAGGGCATTGTACATGAGGTAAGTCAAGAGTCTGGAACAATAATCTAAATGAATGAGACACACCTAGAATACGAGGGCATTGTACATGAGGTAAGTCAAGAGTCTAGAACAATAATCTAAATGAATGAGACAAACCTAGAATATGAGGGCATTGTACATGAGGTAAGTCAAGAGTCTAGAACAATAATCTAAATGAATGAGACACACCCAAAATATGAGGGCATTGTACATGAGGTAAGTCAAGAGTCTAGAACAATAATCTAAATGAATGAGACACACCTAGAATACGAGGGCATTGTACATGAGGTAAGTCAAGAGTCTAGAACAATAATCTAAATGAATGAGACACACCTAGAATACGAGGGCATTGTACATGAGGTAAGTCAAGAGTCTAGAACAATAATCTAAATGAATGAGACACACCCAGAATACGAGGGCATTGTACATGAGGTAAGTCAAGAGTCAAGAACAATAATCTAAATGAATGAGACACACCTAGAATACGAGGGCATTGTACATGAGGTAAGTCAAGAGTCTAGAACAATAATCTAAATGAATGAGACACACCCAGAATATGAGGGCATTGTACACGAGGTAAGTCAAGAGTCTAGAACAATAATCTAAATGAATGAGACACACCCAGAATACGAGGGCATTGTACATGAGGTAAGTCAAGAGTCTAGAACAATAATCTAAATGAATGAGACACACCTAGAATACGAGGGCATTGTACATGAGGTAAGTCAAGGGTCTAGAACAATAATCTAAATGAATGAGACACACCTAGAATACGAGGGCATTGTACATGAGGTAAGTCAAGAGTCTAGAACAATAATCTAAATGAATGAGACACACCCAGAATATGAGGGCATTGTACATGAGGTAAGTCAAGAGTCTAGAACAATAATCTAAATGAATGAGACACACCCAGAATATGAGGGCATTGTACATGAGGTAAGTCAAGAGTCTAGAACAATAATCACAATGATCAGACAGAAATAGTATGAATAATTGGAATATCATTTCAAATTCAATAGTGAAATGTACCAAATCTTATATCTTATAACAAACTTTACAAAGAAAAAGAACTATATTATTAAAAATGATATAAAGTAAAATATTGAATTAAATGTTTATTCATGTTTATAATGATTTTTACCTGAATGGTTCGTAATCAGCTAAATTCTAACTTTTTCAGATGTTTAGTGATTCTGTTCTTCTGAAGTTCAATGAAACATTTCACACAAAATACATGGGGGAAGACTACAATGTACGATTTGTTTTCAAAAGGTGAGACGTAATATGGGAAAGCTTTTTATTTTTTGAGTTTCCAATGACAATGTTCACAAATAGGAATAACGGCCAAGTTATAAATATAAAAGCCTGACATACTCAGAAGTTTGCCATTACATAAAAGCATCACAAATGAATGTTATTGAGAAATGCAGATCTAGTGAAATTGTCCCGATTGCCTGTATAGAGGTATCGAATTTGTATAATTGAAATTCAGTAGCATACATTGTGTGTAGCCTTGGAATAATACTATTATATATGGGGAGAGGTTGTGATTATTGATGATAAATTAATTGAAATAAAATTCTGGAATATTTGTTCCAGGACACCCATACGTAGATGTCACCGGGCTGTCAGACAGGCTCCATCATTGGGCAAAGAAGGTATGCATATATATAATCATCAGAATTAACTCATCAAACATTTGAGATTACAGGAGGTCAAGTCAGCTATTAAGACTAATAAGTTACATAAGTTGTTTGAAACAATGTTTTTTCATATGAAAATCTTGAATGATTACTTATCCATGAATGTGTATTTTAGTCATTTTTCCTGATGACCTGGTTCCAAAGATGTCCCAATTGACTCAAGGCAGGAGGAAGGGAGTCAGTCCAGTGAAGCCTATCAGGACACCAACTAAGACCACGAACACAGGGAAATTGGAGGCCAAAGCACGTCATGAACTTGAGCGGGAACACATGGAGTTGGTGAATAAGCAATTGAATGATCGACAGAGATCAGCTGTATGGAGGATTCTTAATGGGCACTGCAGACCAACTCCTTACATTCTCTTTGGACCTCCAGGTTTGACACATTTTGTTTTTGTTTTCCATGAACCTGTTCACATCAAGAGATTCTGAAAACACTGGGGTCAATTTGGTATTAATAATGATTCACTAAATATAAGATATTCTCTTTCGAGAAGTGTTAACTGAACATATAATTCTCTTCTCTATTACTATGTGCCAACCAGAAGTGGTGACATTATACAAATAGTGACTGCCATTGAGGGCAATAGTGTAAATTATTTCCCCGAGGGAATATCCTCTACAATGTACTATTCCCGAAGCCGCAGGCTGAGGGAATAGTACATTATAGAGGATATTCCCAAGGGGAAATCATTTACACTATTGCTCGAAATTAGGCAGTCACTATTTGTTTTATTATATACCCTATACTGACTCTTGTCCTGTTTCCTCTGCGAAGGCAAAAAAAGGCTTAGAAAGCCCCCTCCCCGGGTCCATTGTTAGCATTATAAGCAGACTTAGCTGTGACGTCATCAGATGCTCAACATAAATTTTTGCCCCTGAGACTCTCACTTGACAAATTCAATCGCGTTTAACACGCGGAATAGATTATCATAACACTTGAAATTACACAGACGTATTGAGCTTAGGGAACTTTATACACGTTGCTTATATTGTATTGTTCACGCACGTCTGTCATGGTGAACGGAGTTGATTTGTGTTTGTGCTCATCCTCCATTTTTCTGTTTTTCGTCTGCGCAGTGATGATGCGCAGACGTTTCCAAGGGTAATAGAAGTTGCAATCGTGACGTCAGCGGGCAATAGTTCAAATGTATATTCCCGCTGACGTCACATTTGAGGGAATATAACTTTCCGAGGGAAATAGTAAATCTATTTCTGAACACGTGACTAGGTATTGACCAATCAGGATTAGTGTTACATATTGGGTATATAATAAATTGTTATAGTCTTCAACTTTTCTTTGGATGGTGTTCGGAGTTTGGCATCTGTAACAAATGTAACAAATCCCAAGTGGTGACATTTATGTTAATGCCTTGTTAGACATGTTTTTCAATGCAACTGCATGAACTCCCCGACATTTCTTCTCATGCAATCATAACATTATATATTGAAAGACAAGTACATTAAACCATGAATCAAATATGTTTCAGGTACTGGTAAAACAGTGACCCTAGTAGAGTCCATTCTGCAGGTCTTCCACAATGTGCCATCTAGTCGTATAATAGCATGTGCCCCTTCCAACAGTGCAGCTGACCTGATTACAGAGAGGCTACATGAGAGTGGACACATTAAGACAGGGGAGATGGTCAGACTCATTGCATTCTCCAGAAACATTGAGGTAAGTGGACACATTAAGACAGGGGAGATGGTCAGACTCATTGCATTCTCCAGAAACATTGAGGTAAGTGGACACATTAAGACAGGGGAGATGGTCAGACTCATTGCATTCTCCAGAAACATTGAGGTAAGTGGACACATTAAGACAGGGGAGATGGTCAGACTCATTGCATTCTCCAGAAACATTGAGGTAAGTGGACACATTAAGACAGGGGAGATGGTCAGACTCATTGCATTCTCCAGAAACATTGAGGTAAGTGGACACATTAAGACAGGGGAGATGGTCAGACTCATTGCATTCTCCAGAAACATTGAGGTAAGTGGACACATCAAGACAGGGGAGATGGTCAGACTCATTGCATTCTCCAGAAACATTGAGGTAAGTGGACACATCAAGACAGGGGAGATGGTCAGACTCATTGCATTCTCCAGAAACATTGAGGTAAGGGCTCAGAATGTGATGTGAATGAAAATTGTGATTGATATTTTATCTGCATATGTTATGATACATATCGGATATGTTAAGTTTAAGAGCTTAGTTTAATGTTTAGTTCATTCTTTTTGTTGTTGGGCATTACATTAAAGCATATCTGTAAATAATATGTTAATGACTTAAATTTCAGGTTTGTAATGTACATTTACATTTGTCCTTGATTTTAAAGTGAATAATAAATGAAATAATGTTTTTGAAGGATTGTCCTGAATGTGTGCAGCCATATTGTATGACAGGAGGAGACGAGATAGAGTCTGTTTCACGTCATAGATTGATCATCACAACATGTTCTTCCACTGGCTCCCTCTATAATCTAGGTCTCAGAGTTGGTCATTTCACACATTGTTTCATAGATGAGGTATGTCTAGAGGCAAAATATCAAAAGATCAAAATATTTTTTTTGTTTTTGTTAACATGTCTTAAAATACTTATTTATATGTTGATAATAGACATAACTATTCACTTGTTTAAACAAAACTATTATATTTGACCATATGCAATACATTAAATAATTCATGTTTATACTGGATATTGTAGGCAGGTCAGGCCACTGAACCAGAGGTATTAGTTGCTGTTGGTCTGGTAGCCACACACCCTGAGGGTCAGGTCAGTATGTAATACTACTCTAAATGGAACATATTACATACAGGTCTGCTCAGGTCTTTTGCTGAATGGACTATGGTATTGCACCACAGTTTTCACCAGTCATGAAACCTAGTGAGAGCCCTGCTGCACGTAGTGTATGGTTCTATTTCTACTTGGAAGACATTTTGTATATGCAGTAAAACAAAGTCAAAAACTCAATTTTGTGCACTTTATTATTCAAAATTAATTGTTAATATAAATGTAGCCTGCTATTGTATGCTGTTTCCAGATTGTCTTGGCTGGAGACCCCATGCAACTAGGCCCAGTATTGAGATCAAATCTAGCCAAGACATATGGTCTTGAGATATCCCTGCTGGAGAGACTGATAGAGCGCCCCCTATATGCCAGGAATGAAGTGAAATTCTCAGACCATGGGAGCTATGATCCTCTATTGGTAAATAACACACTATAATATTTGATATAATTAAGCTGCACCAATGGTCTAAATGTGATATGGCCCTTTGAATTAAATGTCCATTGTGTATAGTTTTATTGAACTTTGATAAAGTGCTGTTACTGTATGTATTGTTGTTGTATATTTACAGACGCAAGAGCAAGATGCATTTTGCTTTTCAATCACTGTATGTCTATGTATGAGCATCTCCTGCAGTTTATGGAAATCTAGAATCAATTTGTTTGGCATTCTGTACACAAAATCTAGATATGATCACTCTTATCTTGCACTCTGTTTACTTATAATGTATTTAACTTGACAATTTTTCTTTCAGGTAACAAAGTTGGTTCAAAACTATAGGTCCCACTCTATACTCTTGAAGTTGCCATCAGAGACATTTTACTTTGATGAACTAGTCCCCTGTGCAGACCCCAGCCTTGTCAACCAACTCACACACTTTGAGCTGCTGCCCAATAGAGTAGACTGCCCCTTGATATTCCATGGTGTCAGGGTATGTAATTAAAAAACTAGAATAAAAATTCTTTGAAATGACATGTCAGTTTTACAATGTTTACTAACATAGGTATACAATACATGTATCTGAGCAGACAAGCAAATAACATGTACAGGTTGTATTTTGAATATTAAAGAATGTATTGGCTCCTAACCAGGCCCTCAGTTTTTATGTCCCCACCACATAGTGTGGGGCCATAGTGTTGGGCCATATTGTCAGCCTAGGCGCGTCCGTCTGTCTGTCCGTCTGTCTGTCCGTCTGTCCAAAACCGCTACAGATATCACCTTCAAATTTTCAGGGATAACTTATGAGTGCATATAGATGTGGATGAAAAAAAATAGCTCTATACCTACTTCCTGTCAGCCATTTTGAAGTCAAATGCTAAAATCCTTGTCTGCAAACTTTAAGAAAAACGGCTTCATAGTTGCTTTTAAAACTTTAACATCTTGTTCAGCTCACTTCATTCTAGATCTGATTAGGTTTTGGACCTGTTAGCTCAGTCATGTCAGCCATTTTGAATGTTTGAAGAAAAGTTAGCGCACGATAATACGTTGTATCATATTGAATGGTGTTTTTCAGTTTTCATACTTTAACTATTTAGTAGCTTTATAAATAATTTCAGGTGTTCTTTGTTGTAAAAGCCTATGTTATTGTTAACAGTAGTTATATGTGATAATTTTGTAAAGAGAAATCAGCAAAAACTTATAATCAATTTTTTATTGTCGGCCATTTTGGATTTTTCCGTCCTAAAATCTTGTCAGTAAAGTCTTGTCTACGCGTTTTAAGGTGAACCGTTTGGTAGATCAATTTCAAATTTTCAGATATGATTCTTAGTATGAAAATCTAGATTTGATTAGTTTTTGGGCATTCTGGGTAAATGTCAAGGCAGCCATTTTGGATTTTCCGTCCTAAAATCTTGTCTCTAAAGTCTTGTCTACGCATTTCCAGGTGAACCGTTTGGTAGATCAATTTCAAATTTTCAGGAATGATTCTTAGTATGAAAATCTAGAACAGATTAGTTTTTTGGCATTCTGGATAAATGTCAAGGCAGCCATTTTGGATTTTCTGTCCTCAAATCTTGTCTATAAAGTTTTGTTGACATGTTTTCTGGTTGACTGTGTGACAGATCAATTTCAATTTTTCAGGGGTGGTTCTTAGTATAAAAATCTAGAACTGACTTATCTTTGGCATTCTGGGTAAATTTTAAGGTGGCCATTTTGGATTTTCCGTCCTCAAATTGTGTCGGTAAAGTCTTGTCTACTCATTTTTAGGATAACCATTTGACGGGATCACCCATAGGTGGGGACATTTTGTACACATTTGTGTTCTTGTATATTATTATGTCACAACCTTAAGTGGTAACATATTGTTATAGTTTCAAACTTTTTTGTGGATGGTGTTTGGCATTTGGTGTTGGTGTCTGTAAGAAATGGTACCTAGGTGTAGAATTTATGTGTAGAGGTATTAATAGGAATGTTTATATTTCATCATACAAACAAAACAAGATAGGTCAAACATGTTCTTTGTAAACATTTTCTATCGCACTTTAAAAAAGTGTTGTATTGTCATCTTGTTTTGATGGGCGAGTTTGCGCACCTGTTTCTGTATGGGCGGGTGTCACATAAATCTTGTCATCAAATTCCCAGGAAAACCAGTCATCCATTCGACTTAAATTTTTTACAGACGCAACAGCAAAATGCCCAAATCTGATTAGCTAATGGCAGTAATTTTGCTCTTTCAAGTGCAATATTTATTATTGTGTTTCTTGTTTTAAAGGGTAGTGATATGAGGGAAGAAAGTAGTCCCAGTTGGTTCAACCCCCAAGAGGCACTACAAGTCGTTAAGTACCTCAAAGCACTGGTCTCCAATGATGAATACTCTCTGTCCTATAGTGATATAGGGGTCATCACACCATATAGAAAACAGGTAACTTTTGAGATGGTAAAATATGAGTCAAATAAGCTACAGCAATGAGATGTACCAATTCTTAGATGTTATGAGAAAATAACCTGAGAAAAAACACTGAGAGAATTTTTGGAAGCACATTGATTGACCTCGATATAATATCCATAAGCTTCAAGTAAATGTTGTCAAGAATGGAAAACATCAAATTTTTATTTTTATTTGCAGGTTGAGAAAATCCGTGTGTTAATGGAGCAGTTAGGTCTGGAGAAGGTCAAGGTCGGGTCAGTCGAAGAATTTCAAGGTCAAGAAAGGCTTGTCATGATTGTATCAACTGTGAGTTAATCCAAAGATTATCAGTTTGTTAAATAAATGAATGTAAACATAATAGTTGTGATTTACTACTTTCTTGATAGGCTAACATAATTTAGTAACATTTACTTTGAATAGATGGCAGTTAAGGTAGTTGTTCACTGGCAATAGGCTCCATGCTATAGGATAGGAGCAATTATTTGATGAGTGTTCAGCTTTAGGACATATAAATTTCATGATATCAAATTATTTTTTTTATAATTTTGATTGATTTAATGAAATATTCCAGAAGTACAGGGTGGGCCAAAAAAATGCCACTTTTTTTCAAAATGCTATAACTTTTGTAATTTTTGATACAGAATCATAATTTGCATACCAAATGAAACTTGAGGTTGTTATCTAGCCATTGATCATGAAGTATACACTTTTACTTGAATAAAATATGTCACCAGCGTCTCATTTAAACATGTGGTGTGCCATGAGAAATAAGCATAATTTGCATAATGTTCCTAAACTGATACGCCCTGATGACCGCAAGCTAATAGCCCTAATTCAAACCCAAGTGAGTATAGGGTATGGGGAGGTCTCCAGGAGATGGTATGAAGGCACCCAATCTAAAAAATTGCTTAACTAAAGCTGGCAATTAAGACACGTTGAAAAAAATATATAGCTAACATTTCATTGATACTGCTATATCAGCAAGGCGACTACAACTAAAATCTATCATCAAATGGGGTGGCGGACCAATTGAAACTCCTCTTTTAGATCAAATATAATCCCAGTTGAAGGACGTATTACATTATATTATTACTAAGAACCCTTGGCACTATATAACTGCAAAATTTGGGGTATGTAGGTTGGAAAATAAAAAAGTTATAGTGTCTTGAAAAAAAGTGGCGTTTTTTTGGCCCACCCTGTATATCATGTTATAGTACAGAGTATCAGTTATATTAACAAAGGATTTTATTTATCTTTCTAGATAAGATGTTCTGTGGTTGCTTGCAAGTGTACTTTCCAAAAATCACACCTGTTTTTATGCATTTTGCATGTTGTCTGGCATTCTATTGAAACCCCACTACATCTTGTTACTAAATAGAAAATCAGTGAAAGTATTTTATTTATCTTTCTAGGTGAGATCTAATGAACAGATGCTTGGCTATGACTACAAGTTCAACCTTGGCTTCCTGAGCAATCCTAAACGTTTCAATGTGGCAATAACCAGAGCCCAGGCCCTGTTGGTCATCATAGGCAACCCTCATGTACTGTGTCAGGTAGTTACTTTAAATATGAATATTATGATATGAGCAATCCTAAACGTTTCAATGTGGCAATAACAAGAGCCCATGCCCTGTTGGTCATCATAGGCAACCCTCATGTACTGTGCCAGGTAGTTACTTTAAATATAAATATTATGATATGAGCAATCCTAAACGTCTCAATGTGGCAATAAACAGAGCCCAGGCCCTGTTGGTCATCATAGGCAACCCTCATGTACTGTGCCAGGTAGTTACTTTAAATATGAATATTATGATATGAGCAATCCTAAACGTCTCAATGTGGCAATAACAAGAGCCCATGCCCTGTTGGTCATCATAGGCAACCCTCATGTACTGTGCCAGGTAGTTACTTTAAATATGAATATTATGATATGAGCAATCCTAAACGTCTCAATGTGGCAATAACAAGAGCCCATGCCCTGTTGGTCATCATAGGCAACCCTCATGTTCTGTGCCAGGTAGTTACTTCAAATATGAATATGAAATTATATTAATAACGCAGATGCGAGTAGGTAGTTACCAATTTCACCACCAGGTGGCTCGTTCGGGTCAGATAGCATGGCGGGTATGGTAGAAAGTTCCCTTTAACTTAAATTACATCTGTTTTGGTGGTTCAATTTTCATATAACCCTCATGTATCTTATAGTTATGCTAATTAAAAAATGTCCAGTAAAGGAAAATGTTATTTGTCGATTTTCGGATGACAAGAAAATATATTTCACTTTTTGTGACTTTGTAACATGGGGTCTATGGGGATTCAACCCGAACTAGAATTCACATTTTCAAAATAAATTAAATTTTCAAAGTTGATAAACAATTTTCGAAACCATATTTCTAGATGTACTTTTACATGTAGATTTCAAATATGACATCACTTTGACTGAATTTTGAATATTTAATGACGTAAATCAAGATTTTTTCTACTCGCATCTAGTTTATTGTTGTCTTCTATGATCTTAGAAAATTATATCTGAGAAAATGTTGAATACTTACAAAATGTTCCAAACCAAACCAAGTAGTCATTATATATATTAGATTTGTGTTGATGAATGTAAACTTTTTTTATTGCAATAATTTAAGAATGTACATGGCTGACAGATATTGTGTCCATTACTTCAGGATGAGTACTGGGAGGCTCTTTTGCGGTACTGCATACAGAACAAGGCCTACACTGGATGTGATCTTCCTAATATTGAAGGGGTCCATGATGAGGATTTGCCTGAGGATGAGAAAATCACACTCATTGCTTCTGACAAATCCCTTAAGGCAGTTGAAACCTCATTTAGTGCCAAGAAAGACTCATCCGAAGCCATAAATACTTCAACCAGTGCCAATGAAAGCTCACATAGAACCTCAGATATCTCACAAGATAAAGAGATGAATACTCCACACACCACCACAGTAGAGGGAGACTCATTTAAGTCTGTGGGAAGCTCACCAAAATTCAATGACAATCTTGCCAAAAATGTGACATTTCCAGATGTTCAAAGTCAATTTGAGCTCCAAGGATCAACCATTAATGAACCAAGTGCCAATGTTAATCAGAACAATCAGATATCAAATCATCGACTGGAGAGTGTGATTGAATCTGATGACTATGAAGAGGATATATACACTAGTGGTGATAATGCTGAGGCTAAAATGGCAATCAATGATGCTGACCCAAATATACATGGAAACAGTGATCGTGAAATTGAAATACCAGAAAACCACGTTGCAAACCAACAAACCACTGCGCATTCAACAGAATATATTGATGACATGAATATTAAAGGTGTTACAAATTATGAAACGCATGAACTTCTAAATAATGAAAAGGGCCCAAATATTAATGCAACAGATTTAATAAATCCAAATGAACATGAACATCAACAAGATAATCAGTATATCGAGAACAATCTCAATCAACGACAATACAACCAAGATATGATAAATGATGTTATCAGTGAGGTGATGCAAGAAGAAATGTTAAAAAGCGACCAAATGCAGGAGGACCAACAACTTATCCAAAATAAACAAATGATTCAAAATATCATAAATGATGAGCTGGCTCAACTCAAAGGAGAGGTCCACCACCCAGGAATCAAGATGGAGTATGTTGGTGATGACTTTGGTGAGAATGGTGACTATTATGATGAAACTGAGAAGACTCGTCCTTCATTGGAACACAATGGAGTTTCTGCTACTGCCAATGAACCTGATGTGATCACTTTGGATGAAACACTAGATGACAATAATGATGAAGTTATCATCCTTGATGACTCAGTTACTGATGATGACATTATTGAAGTTAAGAATAATATAAGTGATCCTATCACTATAGATGATGACTCTACCAATGTGATCGAATGTGTGGACATTACAAATGATAATTCGATCATTGACATCACAACTCCAGTTGTTCGAAAAAAGGACACTTACTTTGATCAAGGAACAGCAAACATCAATGCACTATCCGAGACAAACCCGCATAACGTTTGTCTCAACTCCACTGATCAATTTGAATTAGATCTTGCTAAAGCCATGAGTCTCTCACTGCAAGCTGTTGAAGATGCTCCTGGTTCTGGTAGTGCAATGTATACTGAGAGTGCAGACCCTGCCAATGGTGCTACAGGTTCAAAGCAGGAAATTAGTCAGAGAGAAGAAACAGGAAGTCACAGGTCAAATGTAGTCACAGAATTCAGGAAAATGACCTTAGGAAAAAGATTTTCTACTAGTCATCGTTCACCAGTGAAACAAGATCTAGAAACTGACCAAAGTTTAATTTTTGAAACTAGTCCCAAGCCAAAAGTAAATGTTGCTTCACATTTTAAGAATTTATTCAAAAAAGAAAACCCAAGGAACATCAGGAAGGATTTGGAAAATGAAGAAGTTAGACATAATGATGCAATCGCAAGTGTATGTGCAACAGTGAAATCTGGGCCCAGTGTAAGTAGCAAAATAGCAACAAAAGTTTATGGAAGTAAATATGAGTTTGCAAATAGGGACTACAGGTACAAACATCTATGGGAACAGGAAAATGTTAAAATCAAAGTGGTAAATAATATCAAAACTGAACCAAGTGAAACTGTTAAATCTGAGATCATTGAACCTGTAGAAGATGGTAAATGTAAGACAGAAGAAGATTCAAAAAATGAAGATGTTGATATCAATGTTCAAGAAGAGAGAGAAGATGATTCCAACTTATATCGAGTTATGGAGAAATTAAATATTACAAATGCAGCTGCTGAAATAACAATCAGTAACAGTACACATGGTAATCATCCTGTAACAGAAACTAAAGTAGTTAAAAATGAAACTGTTGAAGAAACTGCTAAGCTTGAAGTTGAAAGTAATGATGATACAAATGATAAAGCCAAAGCTGAAACAGATAATACCAAAGCCAAAGCTGAAACAGATAATCCCAAATCTGAAACTGATAATCCCAGATCTGAAACAGATAATGCCAAAGTCAATAGCTCAGAACCACAAGGAAGTGAAATCTCAACAAATCGCTCAGATATAAACAATGGCAATGTTAATGGAATTCCAAGTACCAACAATAATTCTGCAATGGCTAACCATACCAATGGCGTTGAGCTGCTGACTGATTCCAACGATCTTGACATAGAAACACTTAAACAAAACCCCAACTATATACACTTTGTGCGAGGAGAGGGCTACAAACTTCCTGAGTGGTTCGAAGGTTGTTCCCACCAGGATAAAGGTCTGTGTGAAGTATGCCAGATTATCCTCCTTGGAAATGAGGGTCTAAAGGAGGTCTTCCCTAATAGTGATAGTGATGAGAATGAAGACTGGAACATTGAGATTGATAACTCAACTGATAGTGACAGTGATAATGAAGTTTATGTTACCAGGCAGGAGTTGGAACAATTGGAAGGTGATGTTATTGTAGAGGAGTGTATATCAGAGTCAGAGGAGGACTAAACATCCCATGATGCCATAGTATGACCAACACTCCCATGATTCAGCAGAGCGAACAGATCTATCTCTTTATATTCTGCTGAGTCCATAATTGGATGTGAAACATTTAAGTTTGTTTTAAAGGCCCTGGCCAAAGTTTGAAAATATTGTTTAACAATTTAAATGTAATTTGCCATAACCTTTGTAAATGAAAAAGTTGACTTTTGAAAATTCAGTAATTGGTATTTTAATTTTTAAACATTTGAATTTCCTGCAATTTTTCCTGCTAAGGTTTATTATCCCAATGAACGAAGTTCGTTAGGGATATAGTGAAGCCCTCCGTCCGTCCGTCCGTCCGTCTGTCCGTCAGTCCGTCAGTCAGTCAGTCCGTCAGTCAGTCAGTCCGTCCGTCTGTCCGGAAGATAACTCAAATACTAGTTGACAGATTTTCTTCATATTTGGTGGAAAGATGTATATTGGTGAATAGTTTTACGCAAAAAAAAAATTTTCAAGATGGCCGCCGCTTTAAAAATGACGGGACTTTTTCGCAAAAATCATAAATTTTTCATTCTAAACCAAAGTAATTAATATTATTGTTTGAAATTTTGGTAGTGTATTCACAACATTTATCTATTTCACATATATTCAGTGTTTTTCATCCTGACCCCCAGGGGCCATGTATGGGGGGACAGGAAAACAGAAATTTTCGCTAATTTTTAGATCTCTCTGAAGTATAGCTTTATTATACTCAAATGAAAGGCAATTAAGAGTAGATTGCAAATATTGTATCTTTTTTCTGATTCGAGCCTCGTAAAATTCAAAATGGCCGTCTTATGTACGATTTCGCAATAATTTTTCGATCCCTTCAAAGTACGAGGGGTGATCCAAAAGTCTTGGACGCCTTGCTCTATTTTTGTTTGTTTTTTATAAAATTACTTTAAACTTTCCAATAATAAAGACCAACAACCTAACTACCGTGTGTATTAATTTCATGGAGAAATTATATATTTTATATAGTTTTCTAGATAGTTTTTAATACAGGGATCCTGCCACCCGGAACGGTATTCACACATGGCAACTTTCAGCCTTAAATGTTACAGCCATTTCACTTGTTTCGCAAGTCTTGACCACTATATTTCTTTGAATTTTGAATGTTAAACCATGTTAGTTTACTTCATTTGTTTGTTACTAGGAAACCAATTAATTGTGTTTTAATTATCATGTCACATACGACGATGGCCGCACATGTCAAATTCTAAGAAGATGACATCAGACAAGCAACCCTCATTCATGTATCTTTTTTGCTGCAAGATGGCTGCTGAAATGCAGAACAAGAAAGAAATCAAAGTGGAACAAAGAATACGACAAGATATTTTCACTATTATTGACCTTTAGCAGCTACCAAATGCACGATACAGTCTATCTATCATTGTGGGATCCACAGCCTTTACTATCCCTTTGGAATAGTTCAGACTGTGGGATACTGACTGTAATAAATGTTTCCTTTAACCCTAAAATGTACGGACCAATTAAATTATTTACAGAGTTCTATTGACCATGAGTATCATGGGAAGGCATTACCTGCAGTTGCATGATTACATAAGCAGACAAAGCCTAATGAGTGTGACCAAACACAATTCCCTCCCAAATAATCCAAGTGTTGACATTTGCATGATAATTATTGTTTAAAATTCTAAATTGGAAAACAATAAGAAAACAGAAGTATGTCAACATTATCATAGTTATTAATTTTCAATATAAAAACAAGAACCATCAAGATAAATAAAAGTTTTCCACATAATGAATTCATTGAATTAAAGTTTACAAAGGGGAAAACAGGACGGTGCATTCTTAGGCAGTAATTTATTCCTCCATATACACTGATTTACTTGGAGAATGCACTGGCTAGGAACATGTTCTGCCTCACGATATATCAGAGTCTCTCAAAAGCGTTAGGTAAAGAGGGACTCTGATAAATCAGAATGTCTATCTATGGCTCCGTGTGATTTTCTTCATTTTCTCCAAGTTGAAAGGAGGGTTGAAAGAAAATGATTTTTACTCATTGAATGAGGTTTAGAGTAGCACTCCAGCAGTATTTGTATCACATAAGCAATGGCGGTTTCATAAATGTCTTCCATTCATTGATAAAGTGGAATGAAAAATGTGTTCAAATTCGTGGAAAATATGTTGAAAAGTAGGTCTGAATATGTGAAGATGATGATGGCAGATGACACTCAGATTGAAAATCGAAAATTCCCTCATATCATGTCTGGTGTTAGGTTGTGCACCTGCACCTAAAGTATTTGCCATATTATAACAGTTGTGACGTGATTTGCTATATTAAAATACCGTTCCGGGTGGCAGAGACCCGGTATTAAAAGATATTTAGAAAAGTAGCTAAAATATATTATTTTCTGTTGAAACTTACACATAAAGTTATTAAGATGTTGATCTTTATTATCTGAAAATTTCATGTAATTTTATTAAAAAATAGCAAAGTTAGAGCGGGGCGTCCAAGACTTTTGGATCACCCCTCGTATGGCTATATTATACTCAAATTGAAGGAATTTTGGAGTAGATCACAATTATGGTATTATTTTCCAGATTTGTACCTCAGAAAATTCAAAATGGTTGCTTTGCAGGAATTCGCAATTCTAAAATCTAATTTTTTTATTTTCAACCAAAGTAATGAGTATAATTGATTGGAATTCGGTAATTGATATTTTTTTTGTTCGTTGGGATTTGCTACTCCGCGGAGTTGCCATTATCTAGTTGATTACTGATTTATTGATCATCAAATACAACCTACACATTAAAACACATTATTTTGTCAACACCATGGGATAGGTCAAGTAAAAATTAACCTAATTTGAACAATTTAATTTATTTTTTTTGCATACATTACGTCATAAGATGTTATAGCATTTGTTTATTAATTTGTGATGTCACCACGTTGATAGAGGCGAGTGACAACAGGACAAATATTTAAAATAAGTTCAAAAACAACTTTTTGAAATTGAAAAAAGTTTCACATATCACACTGTGATATGATTGGGTAAGGCTACAACATAAGCTAAAGTGGTTTAGATTATATCTGCTGGGGCCTTAACAATGCAATAATCAGATATCATATCAAACATTTGTTACTTTTGAAGTTATTATATACATTTTGAAATAAACTTTGTTTATTGTATAACTTCTTGTATTATTTCCTTATTGTGAATAGGCCCTGTATCAATGGAACACACTATCCATTCACACCAGTTAGAATCTCTTGTTCTTGTGTGTTTTTCCATGTAAAACTCAAATGTGTTGTGTTGTCATTGCTTTTTACCAAGGAAATAGTCCACTTCCACTGCCACCATGGTTTTATCACTCGGTTCTTACTAACCAAATTATTCCACCGAATCAGTGGTAATTCTAATGAAAAGCATGACATATAGAGAATTAGTTGATTCCTCAATGTGGATACATCATGCTAGATTATATTAAATCAACAATAGGCTCTGATCTGCTTGTTGATCTAATTCATGGAGATGTTGACATCACTAGAAGGGGGAATGTTATTATAGAAATGGTTGATTCAATAATGGAGGTTCAAAGTTACAATTAGGAGATGGAAAGATAAATTTCGGAATCTTTGACTCCACTTTTTTATCATAAAAAATTCATAGTAGAGATTTTAAGAAACTCGTTCATATCACTTTTTAAATCTTAAATCTTGATATCCTCATTTAAAATCTTCATGTCCACAAATACTTTTTGGAAAAAATCCCCACTATAACCGAATCTCTGTCTCTGATTCTAGCTTTTTAGATATCTCCCTATTTTGTCTTATACATGTGTACATCACTAAGGCCCAATAACTCTGTCAATCATAAGGAGTCCTTCATATACTGGATATCAAGCAAGCAATCTTACGGAGGCCCCGTAGTTTTGACTTTTTCAGTTTTTGAGCTCTAATATCTCAAAACTGGTGCAACTGGTTTAATAGATAATTGATATGTAGAACTTTAAAAGCAATATATATCCAACAATATTGATTTGTAGTCTCCAACTTTGAGAAACTTAGATATCACAGTTTGTGATTTGGTTTGAAGAAGAACCTATCTGTCCAACAAATAGATTGTGTATCTGTATTGGCCAAATAAACAGTACAATTGGGAGAACTAATCCACAGAGGACCAAAATTCTACACGTTCACGTACAAGTTTTTTTTTTAGAAAATACTATCTTTACCTCCTAATAACTTGAACGCTAATATTGTGAATTGGTATCCTAGGGGTTTAGCTCACGATGTGTTGACTTTATTTATGAGTTGTGCCCCCCTATGATATTGTTCGCTGTTTCAGTGTTTCATTTGGCTTTCGCTCTTCTATTTTATTGTCTGCTCGCATCATTTACCAAGTGATTATTTCATTATTGTATACTGTAGTGGGATCACATGACACCTTTGTGACTCGCTGATACGTGTTTCATTAGAAACTACAAGGCTTTTAATGTAAATAACACAATAATGTTGATGCGCCTCAGATTGA